TACAGAGGATACGCGGGTAATTATAAACTGTTAATGTAAATTTCACATCGTTAATAATCCATTTTCGCTGGCTCGCGCTTGATTGCTAAGGGGCAATTCTAAAAAAGGTGATATAATTTTCGACTTCACAACGATTTGGACGTGGATTTCCACGTCTTTGTGATATTTAGTTGATTTTTTTTTTATAGACAAAATTATCAATTTCTTTTAAAGCAAGTATCTAAAAACAGATTCTCTTTTGAACAAGAACGTTAGATAATACTGATATAAAAAGCTACATTCAAAATCTCAACTGCGACACGATAGCTCAATTGGTTGAGCATTGTATAAACTTTTTATAGGTCTAGTGTTACCCTTATTATCAATTATCATTTAAACCTACACCTTCAAGGTTGCCTGGATGAAATCGCTTTTTAGCTATAAGGCCGCCGTTTCTCGCTACTTTTTTTTTGTCAAATGAAATCTTTATTTGTGGTGACAATAAAGTATTTTAATAAAAATTTAATTAAGTATTTTTTTGTTTGTATGCTTGGATCATTAAATTACAGTCCCATAATTAAGTAGATATAGTTATGGTTGGCATATTTTTCGAACGTTGTTAAAAACTGTTTGGACTTTGCTGTACAAACTTGAACATATTAACTGCCACTACTACATTCTCCAGTATCAATAAAGAAAGTGTTGACTCGACAGGTTAGTAGTTTATAGCGTTATTTACATAGTGTCAACGATTACGATAACTATCTAAGATTATAGATAACCGCTGTCAGATGCGTGTGCGCTTCATGCTGCATAAAATTTATAACTTTGTTCTACCTTCTGTCACTTACAAAATATAAATTGACGCATAAGTGATTGCGATACGATAAATGGAATTTTGCATCTGTTGCACTAATATAGTCTCTTATGCAAGAGAATAGATATCGTTTTGCTAGATTTTGTTTTACGAAATTTGAATTTATATGTTGTAGCTTACAAGTTACAACAAGGTTACGAAAGAGCTCAATAACACTATTATTTATACTAAAGTAGGTTATATGGAATTTTGAAAATTTTAAGATAACAAAACTTGTCGTTTTTAGTGAACAGTAATTTTTAAATTTTTTAGGAACGGCTCCCATAGAAAACAAAATCATTAGCACAAAGTTCATTGACCTAAAACATAGGAAAGTTCGTGCTTGGTTTACTAATTTTGTAAGTTGAAGCAAAAAGAATATTTTAAAAGTAGATATTTGTCTTTATATATCAAAAATTCCCTTTTTATATGACAAAAACATTTTGACTTATAAATTATAAATAATATCTATTTAAATACTGCCTGTATTTTACACGAGTGGTGCACATTTAAATAAAACACTTTACCGGTTTAAAACGCGATATATTTTAGTTAAACTAGTCCATCACGGCAGCCGTGATCTAGTTTTTAGTCTCTCCGTGACCACGGCTGCTGCAAAGCATCCGAAACGTCGGGCCGTAGTTAAAAATAATTTTCAAACAAGTTTAACTAAAATATATTGCGTTTTAAACCAATATATACTTCCCAGAAAAATATGTTAGTAATTTGTACTATTAAATATATTTAATTTTAACTGCGGCCCTAGTTTTCGAATGTTTTGCAGCAGCCGTGGTCTTGGACGCGAACATGGGAAGGATTGAAATGTTACTACTCACGTAAACTATAAACAATACTTAATTTATTATAAAGATCATCGTCATCTACAGAGTTTCATAAATAACAATTTTAAAGCGAAGAAACCTCTCGCTTCGTGTTACTTATGTAGTAAGAGCGAAAGATCCTAGATTCGCAACCTGGGAAAAATAATTTTTGTTAGAGATTCGGAAGTAATATTAAGCTATATAAGTAGCCCAGTAAAACGGGTACGGAAAAATGTTCGTCTGTGCTTCAAGTGACACGATAATTTCGATTAAAGCGCGCGTATTACATAACGAAGCATTAGTTAAATGGATTACTCATTAGAAACTAAAGAACAACACGAGGTTTTGTAACGATATTAATACTCAGACCGCACAAGGAGTTCGTGTGATCGTGAAGTCGTGACAAGTGACTATATCCAGAACATACTCTTATACAATACGAAATACCTACTTAGGCGTCATACATATAATAGGTAAACTTTTAAATAGTGTCTATAGTTTACCGAGTACACATTTAAATAAAACGCTTTAACATTTAAAACGGGAAATATAGCAGTTAAACTTATTTGAAAATTATTTTTGATTTCCGCCCGATGTTTCGGATGCTTTCCACCGCCCCTGCTTGTGGCGCCTTTTTTTTTAAAACCGTTAACGTGTATAATTTAAAGGTGACTATTTTAAATAGGAAAAACATCTGTTTGTTAAAATTAAATTCGATTTTGTGGGACTCAAACCGCTAAAGTCGATTGTTAAAAATAAACAAATAAATAGAAAAAAAAATATCTAAATAATGGAAATTAAAAAGATTCAGAATAGTAATAATAATTTTTTAGATAGTATTTCATTAAATTTAAGAAAAAATAATATTAATAACAAGAGATTTTAAAATAAAATATTGTGGCATCTCGGGATTAAGCTGAATGTTCCGCAAAGGGAAACTCCCCCCGCGATATTCCCTCTGCCCGCAGCTTTATATTATAATTATAGAATAAAGTTAAAAATCTCTTTACTATATCTAAGTTTAACTTTTATCATATATCGCGTTTTAAACCGTTTAAACAGTTGTGTTATTTAAATTCTGGTTTACCAAATAAAATGAACTATATGCATACAAAAAGTAGGCTCATTCATAAGTTCATGACACTGTACAATGAACTTTTGAGATCATACAATTGTTAAGGCTTCAACTCTCGTATGATAGAGTGGATTTTAATATAATCGACAGTAAAATTCCTGTGAACATTATAATGGCAATATTAAAATGTAATTTAGTTTTGATAACACGGCAGTAATATGGAGGCATAATTGTTTTAAAATAGTATTTTAGGAAGATTGACAAATGCGATAACACTAGTAGTTCGTGCCTACAATGGAGTCGAATAGAAACCTAATAACTTCTCTAACATATTGATAATATGGTAACCAGGTTGGATGTCTGTGATCATCATAATACCCAATCTCTTGATTAAGAAGTTTTATGATAAAGGAGGACAGACAGGAACATGGTTGACTGATGGAAGGTAAAATGCCCCAGCCATATAATATCTCAACAAGATGCGCTGTCGGCCTAGTTTGGCTTTGAATATTTGTAACATATTAGGTATTTAAATAAAACACTTTAACGGTTTAAAACGCGATATATTAGTTAAACTTATTTGAAACCGCTAAAATGTTTTATTTAAATGTGTACTACTCGCGTAAACTATAGACAGTATTTCACATATTAGGTAGTTCATAAAGATAATCGTGCGAGAATATCATAATCTTATTTGTTATATCTGTTCCAAACAGGGTCATCCTACGCTCGACAAACTCGCAAATTACTTATGTTGAAAGTCGTTATTAGGCTTCTATCACTTGATGAAGAATTGCCCCCCATGCCCGTAGAAAGCCTTGCCAGTGCGACCTGTCAGACGGGTACTGTGTGACATTGCTCTTGCGCCGATCAAAGAGGCGACATTGCGGTTACTATTGCGGTAAACAACTGAACTACTTACCTACTGCTACCGTCATGAAAAGGTATAGATTTATAATAAAACATATACACAATAATCTAAACCCACGGATAAAAGTTAAGGCTAACAACGTATTATATTAATAAACGGCATAACGCGATGGCTAAGTTAAAATTAATTGTTAAAAAGCTAAATTCCAATTGGTTTTACATTGAAAAAATTAAAGACTCGGACGCGGCTTGAATCAGCATTCACAGCGTTCTGTGCTGTTGCTCTAACCAATTCATATAATGTGAAAATCAATAACATGTAAAAATATTAAAGTTTTTAAGCAACTAATTACACAGCTTGAATTTTCATTGAAATTATTATGACCTCACTCTTAATATAACTCGACAGCTTTTAAAAAATTTAAAAGCATTTACATATGAACAAAAGAAAGAGAGTTTATTCGTCACTTTTCAGCCCTGAAACGTTCAAAAAGTTTGTGTTGACGACCACTACTTACCTATTTATATATTAGGATATACTTAATGTGAACAAACAGAAGATTGACACTACACGACTCTTTTATCGATAGGTGGTGGTTTTCTTCCATTAATTTCATAGACATGTCTAAAATATATTGAACATTGGTAAGAATCGAATCTACGACTCGTCAACTACCAAATACCATTGAACCAGCGAATCCGTCACTATATCATAATATACGCATTGAAACAAAAGACGAAACGAATGGAAAATCTTCTGAAATATTTGTTCTTCCGCGTGACATATTTAGATCGCATTGTTTGTTTGAAATTCGAATGGATACGTACAGTGCATGCATATTATATGGAGTGAAGGTGTCAGCGACGTAAACACGAGCTGTAATTAAAAACAAACACATCGCTCAATTTGTCTGGATATACTGGAACCAATGACAACCGCACTTTTCACGACTCCCAATTAACATCAGTTTCATTTTAACGCCCCATCGAATAGTGTAATTAAGATATAACTTAATTTATTGGGTGTCACTGAAACGTCCTAAAATGGAGTCGAGTTCTTCGTTCAATTTTGGTCTCAAGAATTTAAATTAGTTTGGAGTAATTTAAAAATTGGAATTTACTTAAATAGAAACCATTTTAGGGCAGTGCTAACTACATTGTATTATATAGGTACTATCTATTTTTAATATAATTAAATTTAACTGCCTAGAAAATAAAGTTTAGTAATTAAAGTCAACTAACAATCAGTTAAATACAGAGTGGAAGATGCTCAGAGAAAAACTCTACTCTTTATTCCTGTAAACCAGAGAGGAGAAATCCAATCGTACCTCCATATCAATCTTAACAATACTATGTTATAGTAGGTACGTAAAGATTCTTTAGACGAGTATGTTACTTACTATTGCGACAAATCCTTATCTTCAAGTCCCGACGGAGTAGCGAGAGTGTCAGAATCTCCCTCAGTCCTTCCACCAGGGTGCTCCGGTATGATCCGTTCAATAGTTGTAACTTCTTCGATATCAGAGTCGATACCCTGGGCAAAATCCATGTAGAACGATTCCCTCGAGTCGCTTGACCCCCGTCGCAACTTGAGCGATAGATCCGGCGAGCTATCATCCATCTTTGTCACTTTTATTCAACCTCCATTCAAACTAAGCCCAACAAAACACAGTTCGCTTCCTCACTTCTTTGTAATCCATTTTTGAATAGAACAGTTTTAACTCTTTCCGGTTAGCCCATTTTAAATTATTCTCGAAACCTTAATTCGATTTTAAATTCGTAATTTGAACTTAACGACTCAACCTGTGTGGCGGCCATTTAAACCAATTTAAGTGTCGAAACTTTCCAGATGTTTTAAAATAGGAACACAAAAAAACGACAGTTAATGGAAGAATAGTAATTTATCTCCGTTACAAAAGAAACGATACGGCGTAAGAACAGTGACCTGTGAACCGTTTCTGGCTTAACCTTCCCCAAAATTGACTCGTTTCCTGTGGCTTTAAATGGGCCCACTGATCACGCACTATAACAATGAAGAAATATCTGTTTCTTTTTAGTTACGAGTCAAGAATTAATATATAAACAATAAAGTTATGAGCACCGCCAAAATAATCTCGGCGATCAATCACCGCGGTACGACTAAAAGCTACCACTCATAAATATGTAAGCAAGCATTAAATCATTGTTATGGACGATCCATCCTGTTGAATCATTCATTGATAAATAATTCAAACATTTAGCTGATCGCCTTTTGTTTTCTAAAAATTAAATATCCGTTACAATGCAGAGATAAAAATTTAACTTCGCAAACAAGTAAATTAAACTATGCATAGTCATACCCACTGATCTCTAGGGAACAACAATAATACGATACAAACATTCGTTAACACACGAATAGGCCGTCCTATTCTAGGCACGCATCGCGTCAGCGTATTGACACGGAAAGTCGTAACTCGTAAACCTACACGTGGTTTAAGCTCGCACGCGGCGCCCTCTCGCGGTAAAGGACGGCGCGCGATTGCCGGGAAATGACCGAACACGGCAGGGAGGGGCGCACCCCAGCACCAGCGGGATCAATCTGACGCGACCCGGAAGCGGGTCGTCCTCTATGGGGTAGTGAATACCGTCGCAATTGCTTCCGATGAACTTGTAACGGTGGATTGTTAAAAATTACATCTCGCATGTAGGGCATGGAACAGACACATTATTGCGTCCGTTTCAATTATCAATTGAGGCCGCTAGAGGCAGAGTAGCCTAACTGAAATTTTATAACTTGAGTTTTTTATATTTTCAGTCTAAAAATGTTAATCTACCACCGACAATTGTCATTTTCGCCAAAATTATTTGCGCATTTTTATTTCCCTCGTTATTGAAAATATATACATATTTTTTGTTATTGGGCCACTTTGCTTCTAGCAGATTCAACTTATTTACGCACATGAAGGCACAATATAATTTAAAAATCGAAAATAAATTGAAAACAAAAAAAAGATTTTCAATTTATTTTCGATTTTTAAATTTTATGGTGCCTTCATGTGCAATAACATGTAAACAATATTAATGTTTTCAAACGTTATAAACTTTGTAATTTTCATATTCAATAATTTCTTAAGTTGCAAAGCATAAGACACCTTAATACGCAAGTGTTAAGCTTGAAATTACAATGCGCGAGAGGTGCATGAATCAATAAGTTGAAAAAAAAACGACTATGAGGTGTAGGACTCGGTAGCTCAATTGCTAGAGCAACAGCACGGAACGCTGACGTTGCCGGTTCAACTCCTGCCCGAGTCGAAAATTTTTTCAATTTATTTTCGCTTTTTAAATTAGCTGTATATACGTTGATATCCCCAAGATTAGAGCCCTCACTATTAGCGCAATACGCTTTATTCTTATTACATATCACTTTGAAGGGATCGTTTACACTTTATCATTCAAACAAGTTAACCCTGCGAACTTGGTGTCTAACACTCGTGATGTATTTATTAGCTGAACGAAATTTATTTAACAGGAATAAAGTATAGAAATGAAATATTAAAATTAGTATAACTCGAATATTTAGGCTTTTTCGTTAATTTTCTTATGACCTTATTACCAATCATTGTATTGTTCGGGAGAAAAATTGTTTAGTTAAATTACAATTACCTGATATAATTAAGGGGACTTTACAAGAATTAGTTCCTAGGTCATTATTATTTTTAGACTCTTTAACTTACTTTTTACTATGTATGTCCTAACGTTTCGAATGATTTTCACCAAACTTTGTCACGAGGGAGTTTAAGGAAAAAAGCGTTTCTAATAATTAAAGCCAAATCTGCTCCGCTAGCGCCATCTGTTTTGCAGTGTGTATAATATATTTTATTTACACGGGAAGAAGCCAGGCTCCTCTGCAACACACGCTGTAGTTATATTTGAAATTAAGTGTAATTTAATATATCGTAAGTATTTTATTCTTATTCAGGGTGAAAAATAAAACCATCGCTTTATAATAATCTAAAAATTTATAACATAATTATTACTCAGGTTATAAACAAGTTCTTATTATACTTAAATATAAACCTTTTATCACAATACTCAAAAGTCTTTAATTGGATGAATTTCATGGAATAAAAAAAATGTGTTATAACGAATAATTGAATCGCTTAAAACAACTTTTAACTGAAGTTTCTACGTGAAAACCAATATGCCCGGAACAGCCTAAAATATATTCTATGGTTAATTAACATATATTCAGGTATACATTAAAATGTAATATTACACATATTTTTAAACTGAGAAGTTATACATAGTAGTGGAGTGTGGTAATAAAGGAAAGCGTTGTAATTTTTCTAATATATATGTATCTTAATATTTATTTTTTACAGATATTTAGACCAATATACAGCTTTGCCCTAACAAATTCAAAAAAATACAAAACCACAGATTGTATTCTCTTAATATGCAAAACTCATTCGCTTGTAGGCATTTTATCAACTTAAATATATCTGTGGTAAATCAAGGTGTTACAATATGGTTCTACTTAGGACTGATACAAACTACCCTAAATTACTTTGAAAGCTAGGAATTTTCATCTCCTACCTGCACGGCGCACGCACATTTACACATATAATTACATAAATGGTATTCTAATGTCATGAAATGAATTATTAATTCAAAAAAAGTATGACTAATAACGGTATGTGTAATACTATAATATGTTAATATATTCAAAGCATATCACTTTTTCAATATTGCTCTAGTAACCATTTAATTTAAAGGAGGACGTACTAGTATTGTTTCTTTAGTCTATATTTCTGCAAGAAAACTTTTAAAGAAGCCGACAGAGGGCACTGTAAGCAATGAATTAAATTATACATATAAATACTATTTTTTTATGCTATTTGATTTAAAGTAGGGACAGAGAAGTCTAAATATACGAGAATAACCAACAGTCATTATATGCTATATGATTACGAAAAGATATATTCTTGGTGATACCTGCAAAAACAATTCACTGAAATTTTAGATATAGAATAATTAATAGTAATGTTGAGTTAATTTTGTATTTTGATCGGGTAGGATTCAATCAGTATCCCCCAATAGAAATTTATAATGATAGGTATTATATATAATTATAATAATGATCATTATTATAATAATCATATTCTTTGAGCACAAGTTATACAGCTTTTATTTATTTTTTATATTAGAGAGGACAGATAAAAATGGTAATCATGTAAATAAATGTCCATATAACTTCTGACCATGATGAGCTCACAACTAATTTTGGTTTGAAAATTCAGAAATCCACAGACTACAATATGAAACGTGAATTTAAGACTACACCACTAGCTTAAGTTAGTTATCTTGTTTTGACTACGACCTGACGTTTCGGATGCTTTGCAGCAGCCGTTGCGTCGAGCTGTAGTTGAAATATTAAAAATTGTTTTAAACCGTTCAACACGTTGTATTTAAATGTAGCATGCATGGGTAAACTACAGACAATACAAAGTTGCTCTCCTTAATATGCAAAGACTTTGGGAATAAACTTAATAACCCGATATAAAGAAAAGATAGTAGTTAATACTAATTATTAATAATCAGGTGACCTTCACGTCATTATGAACTCTAAATTTCTATTATTAAAAGCGTCATCAGTGTCAGTGAACTGTTTCAACAGATATCACAGATTATGGTATTACCCTATTCACAGATATGCACGACGCATTTAGTCAATATCGTAAAGTCGATATAGTTGTCATTTATATTCAATTTCTGTAAATACCTGTTATTTCAACGAATCAAATTTCTGTTGTCTGCATATTAAATGTGTTGAATAATCGAGTGACCTTGACGTAACAAACATTTTGATACACAAACAAAACTGGTTTAGATGTTTAGAACTAAAATTGTCAAAAATCGGTAACCGTTTTGTAATAATGGATCAACTGCAGTAAAATCTAATTTTTTTTATTTATATTTTGACATGCTTAATATTAATTAAGAAATTGATAACACAAGCGAGATTTGAACCCACGACCGCTCTAACCGTCTGTTGTTTTTGAAATCTTGATATGTTGTATAATACTAAGTTTTTGATGAATAGAACAATCTGTTTGCAAATATTTACAACTTTTAAAAGTACAATTGTGTATCTTAGTGTCAAACAGGCTAAGCAGATTTTTTATGTATATATTTTTGTGAATTCCCAAGACAATGCAAACACAGCCTTACGTCGAAATATAACAAGGCAACTCGCCAAATAAATTGACAAGCATAACAACGCAGTTGGATTGAATTTTTATGGTAAATATGACATCCAATTAATTTACACGCAAGTGTTATTATGGTATATAAATACTCGTATCGTGTTTAGCCGACGCAAGTCTGCCAGGCCAGGCCGCCGCAGGCCATCGCTCCAATCAGATAAATGGCGAAGGCAACTATGAGGACCATGATCACGTACATTTTCACATTCTTCCAAAACAAAGAACGCTGAAGCGTCCTCGCTGTGTAGACACGACTGAGATCAATTAATTTGACGGGCTCTTTGCGTGTTGGTCGTTTATCCCACCGGTCCAACATTTTTCAAATCAGTTTAAATTTTCGTGAAACGTTGGACACCGACTGGAAAACCCACCCCAAACCCAGGCACAAACCAACCCCCCAAAAAAGACATCATTAATCATGTTTCGCTTTCAGTCTGTGGTTTCCGAATATCCAAAGCCAAATTAGGTCGATAGCGCAGTTTACCTAAAGGCTAGGGTATTTCAGCTATTATCAAGTGAAGTTAATGTTAATCTGTCCTCCTTTATCATAAAAAAATTAAAATTAAGGGAAAATTTAACTAGGTTATAATAATAATTTGAATTAGTCGTACTGTAGCTATCCAAAGATATAATTGCCAGGATTAAAAGGGCTGATGACGTAATATCAACAATGCAAAACATCTTTAGATACAAAAACAGAATGCTAAGAAGTAAATTTTGTATCTGTGAAGCCATGCAAGATCATTATCTCAATCAGGTTATCTATGTCGTAAATTTACATAACAAGAGAAGGCATTATATTTTTTCTTATGCATATTATAAGAATTTTAAAGGAACGTTTGTGGTTTACACGACTGGTACATACAAATAAAAAGTTTTAAATACGAAATATTTACATTAAATACGAACACGTTAACGGTTAAAAACGCGATATATGTATATATAACTTAATTGCAGCACCCGTGACGATGGCTCCTGCAAAGCATTCGAAACGCCGGGCCGCTTAAATAATTCTCAAATAAGTTTAATATATATTGCGTTTTAACCCGTTAAACTGTTTTATTTAAATGTGCATTACTCGCGTAAACTACAGACAGTATCACTATACTATTTTGCGTTTTATCTAGTGGAATAAATAGCCATAATTTAAACGCGAAAGTGAGAATGTTCCAGTTTAACGCACTGGCTGATTGATTGCTTTCTAAGATATTTTGCACTTTATAAATATTTTATACGAGACTATATTATTTAAATATATAATTATTTTAAAATAATTAAATAGTGATTATAAAGGTTTTTACATTCTTTCCCAAAAATTTAACAATTTATATAATCAGCGTATAACTGTTTTTCGGGCTGGCCGACATGAGCGACAAGAAGTTCGCCATCACAAGCGGACGGCATCACCGGGATGTTGTTAGCTCCTCGATTGCTCGAAGAATTAATAAATTTTTAATTTATGTAATGTTAAAAAAAATATAAAACAAATTAGTTTGTAAGTGTAATAATCACATTTTTTAAGTTTGGTGCTATTGGAAACTGGCTTACTTCAAGCAATCACGTACGCAAGTATAATGATAAAACTACGTGTAGGTACGCCCCAAATCCCACAAGTAGAGGAAACATTATATCTCTGATTCTATACATGATATTTGTTTAATAAACAATTACATATCCTTTTGAAATAAACATCATAATGCTAAGTCTATATTGCTGTGATTTTTAACCGACAAGAATTAAAAATAAATGACCCAAAGGTTTTGACATTTAAAGTCTTACAGTCAAATGACCTTAAAGGTATATTATTTTTGTTAAATGAGATACTCACACTGGTCGCTAAATTATCAGCTTTGTTCACAAGAAGCTCCAATTTTTCACCTCGCATTGCCATGCTATCTGCAAAAACAAGGAATTGGTTTTACGAGTTTGCAAAATTATTAAAGAGTTTTTGATATATGTTACCAAACCCACTGAAAAACACACATCAACATTGTCTAGGGATATTTTGACTTTTACCATTTATTTTATTTCTTCCTTGGAGGATCGAATTTTTACCACAGTGCGGGGTCAGACAGCTCGGCCACTACCCATAAACCTCCAAGGGCCCACGGAGACGTGCCAGACGCGAGCGGGCGGTTAGTTATTTTGATTTTTACCATAATACAAATAACAAGCAACATTATATATCTTTAAATAGCCCATTTAACTTACTTAGCCAAAATAATGTAAAGATTTAAGCAAAGACAAAAATATTAGAAGTTAGTCAAACAACCCATGACATCAGTAACTTTTCTGCGGCGGTCTATCGTGCCTTCAATCAACCTATCAATGCCTCAATGTAGAATATTACCCAAGTCCTGCTAGGATGCAAAAATGGTAGACAATGTTGTTATGTATAAATGTATAGGCATTAACTAGCGCTTGGCGCGTGAGATCTCAAAATAGACCCAATCGATCACGAAACACAATAAGGAATTACATTTTCGCTCTTTCAGGTTTAAAAGCGGGCTAATCAAAAGAAAAAGTCATTGCTAGGGAAGCCATATAAAAAGATACACTACTCAGTTGGTAAGAGATACTTAGACTTAGCCACTAAGCCATCGATAACAAACCTTAAAGAGGGTTTATCTTAATCTAGAACTACTGTGCCCTAATGAACTTAATTAGTAATAGTAGGTTAAATAAGTGGAACGCGCTAAAACATAAGTAAACTTTTTCTTTGCATTACAAATGGCACGAGAAGTCCAACAATACTTTTGCCACTTTCATAGGTACTGTACTCTTCTGTAATATGAAATATATATTATAGTAGAGCAATTATTACACAATCTAAGCAGTGGATATTGGTGTTGGGATGATATGAGGCCGCTAGAAGCAGAGTAGGCTAACGCATGTTTATAACTTGACTTAGTTCTGTTTTTATATTCTAAAAATGTTACTCTACAAGACTTACTTACACAAATAATAGCTAAATACATTTTCGCTTAAGTTAATTGAGCATTTTTATTTTCCCCCTTATCGAAAATCATGTTTTTGTTATCTCTAGCAGCCTCTTACTCTTACTTACGTCTTAATTAAAACTTTGAAAACAGATACGAATATGAATATGCCATAATTACTGGAGTTTACTTATATATTGTCATAGATATCTAAAGTCTAATGCTAAAATATGCTTGTTAAAAGTTTATTAATTCTGATTAAATGAAAATTTTAATTCTAATTAAATGTTTTGGGGTGGGGTGTTTTACACTAATTGAACCTCCACTCTTCTTTGTCCTCCTCTGTCAAAAAAATACTATTAACTCCTAAGATCACCTTCAAAGTGTGGCGGAGTATTTTGATTTGTTTATCAATTATCTTTATAAGTAGATAATTTTAGTGTAGAAAAATAGGTAGCCATATTGAACATAATGAGGTACAATCAGAACTTATCAAGGCTAGTTGCACAGGCATAATAATATAGTTGAATGTTTACATGCAACCAATCTGTGTACACAATCATTAAGATATTTACTTTAAGCATACTATCAGTTCTTTAATATTTTTGAGTCCAACTTTTTAATTAACATTATACAAAAACTAACATATAATTTAAATTTTCACTGCAATCAACATTTAAAGCATGCCCTTATACTGTACTAAAATACATAATCTAAAACTACCCCCTATTAATTTATCTTAAGAAGGTAGTTGTTCTGATTATTACATAATATAGTACAGTCTGTTAAATCCCCTTTTCCTTCACGTTTTATTATTTTCCCAAGCTTCAAACCCAGAGTGCAAATGCATAATAGTATACAACGCGTGTCATATGTGTCAGTCACATATGATTTGTCAATGGCATAATTCAGTTCAAAGTCATTGAAGTACAAGTACAGTATAATATATAGAGCAAAACGAAGTGAATCATATAGGATATAATATCATATTGGATATCTATCATTATAATATATCATTGACCATAACGAGGTATCAAGCAGACTTACTCACAAATCATTCTGATAAGATAATAGTGGCATAGTAAATAAAAAGTAAAATTACGGAACACAATAGGGTTATCAAATGACCCCTCGTTGCATTCTCCTGATTATTATTTACCTATTTACTAATAAGATCAAAATCTGATGTTTATGAGTTAAGAATGTTGGAATGTACAATAGTAACTTAAAATTGACACCCTGGTTACAATGGAAATATGTATATTGTATTTGTAAATTGATATTATTTTTGTTCTTTAAAATTTTACTTTTTGTGAAATAAAAAACACATATGGTAAATAAAATGGTTTAGTCTACTTTTCATTGTAGCCCGAACTTGGTATTCTCCTCTATTACAAGCCAGTCTTTTAGGTAACATGTCTTTAGTAATTATTTAGATTTTCTATTGCAAAAATAACAATAATAATTATAAAACACATAGACTATGAACCAAACATAGCTATCAGCATATTATTGTCTTTCGGGCTGTTCGGCCGATGTGAGCGAGAAGAGGTTCTCGACGTTTCGCCATCACGTGTGGACGGCATCTTCAGGAGATGCCGTCAAATCTTCGAGCAATCGAGGAGTCAACATCTCTTGAAAATGCCGTCCACACGTGATGGCGAAACGTCAAGAACCTCTTCTCGCTCACATCGGCCGAACAGCCCGAAAGACAATAATATGCTGATCGATGGCCGTGAAAGCCTTACTCAAGATATCAAACATGTTTGCTATGTTTCTAAAGACTAGCAAGATGTTAGTGATTGATTTTTTTGGTCAATTACCTATTGTAGACAGTTTAACACAAGCCAATAGCCTATAAGGACAATGCATGTTTGCAGATTTTTCCTAGGCTCTATAAAAACACAGATTTTTCAACATTTGTTATCAGTACATTCATTATTTTAATGTATAGTTGATAATGTTTTACCTCCATAATGTAAAACTAAACTTTTAATGAGGTTTCTGTATTGATAACATATAAATAATTATAACATGCCACACATAATAGTAAAAATAAACCCTATTATGTTCTTTTATATATTATTTAATTTAAATTAATAATGTCCAAAATAATTAGAGATTTTAAGGAACACCAAGGTACCATTCATTTTCCACTTATAACTTGAACTAAACAAAGTATTAATAAAACACATTCCTCATCCTTAATGACAACTACAGTTTAATGAATCATAAAATTAATCACTCAGTCTTCATCTTGATCAAAAAGTTATTTTTGTATTCCAAGCAATATAATATTCAATAAAATATAACTTACCAATATTTTTCACCATGATATTTTTCAATTCATCAAGTTCACCGTGAACTCTTGAAATCGTCTCGAGGTCTTTTGACTCACTGTAATGCTTCATTTCTGTTGCCAATACCCTGGCAAATTCACTGTTCATGGCATATGGTATGGCTGTCTGAGCAGTATCTCCGAATACAGTCGTAAATCTTCTTTTAATTTCATTGAGAAAGAGAAATGCTCTTGATCTTTGAAATTTCTGGAATAAATTAATGTAGCTATATTTCTTTGAAAGCTATTAATAATTGTGAATCTATATATTAACACTCACGTCATCAGTAATGCAGAAATAAACCAATTTGTTTTCAGAAATGTAGTGAAATAGATAGTTTCCGTGTGAGTACGTAAGTTTGTTATCATGTGGGGGAATTTTAGAGAGAATTTGTTCCGTTACTTCCGTAAAATTGCCGGCACACGTCGCGTACTTCGCTAGAACCACTGTACCCCTGGCAACAACGCTGAATAATATAGGCATTTTGAATTATTCACTTGAAATGTAAATAAAAAAAACAATGAACACAAAGGAAGCCAAATCCACAAGCATAGGCTTCTTCACACAATGTAGTTGTTGATTGTCAACAAATGACGAATTAGTTGTAACACTAGAATTTAAAGTTTAATGTATCGAGCTGAAAAATGGGACAAATCTATTAGTTATTTTAATAAGTGTGTAAACGGCCACGACTAATGCGAAACTTTGACGGCAATAAATTAACAAGTAGAACAATATCAATCATCTGTCATAACTAACTGAAATTTGAAGCTGCCACTAAATTAATGACAAATGATATCTAACAGTCAAATCGAAAGCTAATTGTCAAGTACTACTATCGAGACTAAATTCCAGTGTTATTGTTACTACAGACTATAAAATATGTCGAAAAATTGGTAAAAATCTACACTAATAATAATCATGAGCTCAATATGATTTATATGAATATTTCTGGTAATCCTTACTAATATTACAAATGCGAAAGTAACTCTGTCTGTCTCTTACTCTTCCACGCCAAAACTACTGAACGGATTAGAATTAAATTAAGTACACAGATGGTCTGAACCCTGAGAAAGGATTATTGCAAAAAGGGGGGGAGGGTGTGAAAAGTTTGTTTGGAAATTGGTGGAAACTAGAACAATGAAACTTCCTTCTTCAGCTAGGGAATTGGCTGCGATAAGTGCGCAATTACATAAATTAATAAACAGCCTAATTAATTAAAAATTATACCCCAAGTCACTATTCCACGCGAACAAAGTCTCGGCCACAGCTAGTATTGTATATAAAGACAAAAAGGCCAGTACACATTTTATTAGTTTAATAATTATCAACAACTAAATAACGTAACGATTAATTTAATCAAAATAATCATCAATGTCTATATCAGGATTAAGGATATCATCACCAAAAGGTGTCAAATCAATTTGATCCAAAATTAAATTTTCACACATTTCCTCAAGATCTGTTTCACCAATTAAAATTGCACCCTGCAGTTTACCATTTTGAAGAACAAATTTAATGTATTCATGACCTCGAGTCACCCTAAGAAGGATCTCATAATTTTTGTCTAGGCCCTGCCCATTATATTTTCCCAGTAACACTACTCGATAACCAAATAGAGTAGTGCAATGTGTGAATAGTTCAAAACAAAAGTCTTGGAGAACATCCTCATTAACTATTCTAGCATGCATTGCCTTTGCGGCCATGCCTCCCATTTGGCGGGCCTGTGTCCATAACCTTAATTGAAACCAATGTGGTGAATACTTCCAAGAGGCAGATACAACATCCCCAGCAGCAAAAACATCCTTTATTGAGGTCTCTTGCAGTTCATTAACAGCTAATCCACCATCATCACCAAGACTTGGTTTTGTATCCCAAGTAAAATTGACAGCTGGTTCAACACCTGTTGCCGATATAACGAAATCACATTGAATTGTCTTCCCATTGGAAAGTTTCACAATCAGAGGATACTCTTCATTATTTTGTTCTGTAACAGATTCTACCTCTGCTTTATAAATAATTTCTAGCTCTTGTTTTCCAGTTTCACTATTAATAGATTTTAACTTTCTATACCAGTCAGGGCCTAAAGCTGCTGATTTAAGATTTTTATTTAATGACACTAAAGTATCCTCTTCTGTGAATATATGCCTTTTAAGGATAGTGTTTTCTTTTTTCTTTGGATCCTTGAAACTATCCTGCAAGAACTGAGCTGCACCTGGGTCAACAAATGTTGCTGAAATATAGTCATCTCTTATAACCCAAACTTTCTCTATGCCTCTAGTAGCATGAATTATTTCTGATGCAATCCCACCATTACCAACAATAACCATTCTGCGACCATTTTCTAACCTCTTTTGGAATTCTTGCACAGACTCAGTGTCTCTAATACCCAAAATTCTTTTACAATTTATGGAATCTGATATTAATCTAGGTATTCCTCCAGTGCATATACATACAACATCAAAGTAAATAGATATACCTTCATCTGTAAAAGCAATTTTATTACTTGTATCTAGATGTTTTAAAGAACCATACACAATATCAAGATTAGGATGAATCATTTTTAAAGAGCTTGCTTCGGTATCATGTACATCAAATTTAACTATTGTTTTGGCATAGAAGCTCACATTGCTAACGTTTTTAACTAATGATGATGCAGTTACAATAGTGAGGGTTTCTTCAGGGTGCAAGATAGCCAATGTTTCTACACAGGTTACTCCAGCTATACCTCCTCCCACAATCAAATATTTGGTTTTTAACATAGTCATTTTAACTATTTGTTTATTCAAAATTAATTAACGTTTAACTGATAAAGTTTCTCGTTATCTTTTGGTCATACTGAGTTATATGGATATCTTTTTAAATTGATAAACGCAAGTTATCAATATCACTTTTTATTTTATAACTCGCTATATTATAATTTCATCATTTACATTATACACACAATTTGTTATTTAGATTACTATACGCCACGTGTATTAAAAGGTAAAGGTATTTACCTTTTAATACGCATTTCCAAATGGTTTAAAGGAAAGGTAAACAGAACGGTAAACACTAAACAGTCGGCAAAATTGTGAAAAAAAAATGTAACAAGTAAACTATGACTTTTGGCGCTTCAAAGTTTGACTGCATCATAATTGCGTCGCAATTGGTTTGACTTTGACATATGACTTTGTTTTGTTAATTTCAAGTTATCAAAATAAATGAGCCACTTCAGAGTTGACTCTCATAGAACCTTATCTTTAAAATGTTTATATAAATAATAAAATAAAAATATTTCCCATATTTTTACTGACTGAAACTTTATAGGAAAAATGAAAAAATAAAGTTATATTGTGCTATGAATATCATAAATCAGATAGAATAAATTACGAATAGTTTAAAAAAACATGTCTTTACGTCGATTTTATTTTGCCTTTACTTTATGTGTATCAGTATTTTGGTATTTCCCATTAATATGGAACTTAACATTTTTAGCACTTTTTAGTGTATCTATATTTGTGGCCGTTTTTACATTTGCTTTGTGGGGCCATGTCTCGCTATCTTCGCCCCATCAAACGTCGTTGTTTTTATTTGATAGTGTAGAAAAAGAGTCTCGTGTATTGGAGAGCGCAATAAAGGTGTGTTTTCGATTTCATTAAGAAAGCTGCTCATAAATTTTCATAATTCCTAAAAATTGTTATAGGAGGAACAAGATAACTGGAGTAATCCAAGTAAAAAACTGCACTTACCTGTTGTGTTTGGAAGAACAGTTGATAGCCAGTTACAGCAATTAATTGACTATTTCCTTAGAGACTTTGTTACCAAATGGATTAAGGATCTGTCCCATAAACCTGAACCAGTGGTTGAAAAGTTTAAGGAGCACATTTGGGGTGGTGTACAAAATGTTTATGAAAGGTTGTTAAGGATAGATGCTGAGAAGTTGTTGGCCAATGATATGGTTTTAAAAATAACTCAGCATTTTGAGAGGATTAGAATTGCTACTAGTTGCGCGTGAGTAAATTTGTTGTTATATTCAGATAGTGGGACATTTTGATTTTATTTTAAATTTTTATCTCAACCTTGAAAAACTTACTGGAATTTAATAAAAAAATTATACATCTGTCTTAATTGTTAAAAGAAATTACTCTTTTATTATTGTGTTCTCTTATTAGGTTTGACATTGCTGTAAACTGAATTTTTACTTTATCTTTTAATATTCCAGGTTGGAGCTCAATCAGCCACCAGTATTTTCATTATTACCACACCTAATGTCCTTTGATACAGAGTTACACTACCTGCGGCAAATAAGTGAAATAATGGTGATATTTCTGATGCCTAGGTGTTACTCTTTAACACCTGTTGCACATTTACTGCGAGAAGTTTTGTCTTGTAAAAGTAAGTGGTTAACCTTTTCCTATTTTTTACATTATTCAATTAATTGTATTAATATTCTGTGTTTTTTAAGTCCTACAACCTGCTATCAACATAATAACTGATCCAGACTATATAAACCAAAAAATAATCCAATATCTTGAAGCTCAAAAAGAGGTAGATGCGATGCATGTGAGGACACACGAATATGCAAAAACATTTGAAGATTATATACGTCTTATTAACAGCTGTAACAATGTTGACACACTTAAGCGATTACGGTCAGTATTAGTATGTTCTTAGTTTCATAAGTGAGAGTTATTGGACTGTAAAATCTGTTACGTGACTTTGTGGCTTATTTTTGTTTATTAATAGTCAGTGAAATCCCATTTTGTATTGTGGAGCATGTGGTGGGCACAATTTACCCTAAAATTTGAATCCAGGCCTATTTGCAATTTAAATTATGTTTGGCAACTTGTTTAACAATTAAGGCACTCAGAACTTAAGGAAAATATTTTTTATTATGCTAAATATAATAGGAACAAGAAACTTGTGACATAGTAGAATTTATATATATACTTTATTATTAAATTGTATCTTAAATAAGCTAAAAGCAACTTACATATCTTCGCTTAAAGCTTTGTTGTATGGCTAATAGTAGGTTAATATTTTAGTACTGCACTATTATTATTTATCATAACTAATGCTACATAATGTTAGCAGTTTAGTTAACTGTGTGGTGGATTCTAAATGTTATTCAACTTCTATATTTAATTATTAATTTACTTCAGGTATGATATAGTAACTCAGATCATGCAAGCGACAACACTACAAAATATCAAAAGGGCGAAAGGAGTAGACATAGATGTTATAGAAAAGAGTGGGAATCAACATAATGTTAGCAGACAGCAGGTTGCGGATGCCAAAAAACTGAAAAGATATATAGATCAACTGTCTATTGCTAAAGCGGAGTGTGAGTCAGCATTAAGGAGTATGGGTTGGGATGGGGCATTTCCTACCGTTGAATCTGATACTAAGGTTATTTATTTAATTAAATTTATACAAGATTACATTAAATTCATATATGTATAACTAAAACTTATGCATAATGAAGTATTTATGACTTAAGTTATTATGACAGTACAAATATATATTATACTACTATGAATCTTACTATTTTTACCTATAATTGAGTTTTTAGTTTAGTTTTACCAATTTTAACAATACATATGTGTATTGAATACAATGTAATTTTAAGTACATCTTTTTCTGTCTAAATAACTACCTGTGGTATTTTGATTTCATAGATAACAATTCAGTGTAGACTAAGAATTTGTTTTTTTTAATTCACAATTTATTTTCAGACCTTACCATTACATAAAATTATGGAAAGCGTGACCGGCAGAAGATACCTAGCAATGTTCTTAGAGACATTATGTTCGCAAGGTCTTGTGGGCTTCTGGACAGCTGTGGAGGAACTACGTCATAGTCCCCGAAGTAGTTGGCACCAACTTGGGGCTGAAATATTTTACACTTACATTCGGTCGCCAAGTGCAGAGATCAAAGTTGATAAGGTATAATTTTTGAATTGGAAGTATACTAAGCATAATCAGTATATAACACCTCAATTTCATGCTAGAAATACTAAAAATCCTAAAAAATAATTTACGTAACACAGATTAAAAATTATTTAGTTTAAGAATGGGATGTAAGCAGAGTCGAGGACAATAGAAGGTAAAAAGTCATGCACGAACGTTGAAAAGCGATACATACGTCGAGTTAAATTATAATGGCATAAAAGATTTCAAAAATAAGTCGTCATTAAAATGATTTTAAAATTGAGGTCCTTTAATTATCAACTTCTTTGCATGAGTAAGATTGTTAATAAAGACGCTAGATCTGAATATGTGTTTCTAGAAACACTTACTGAATTCTTATTGTCATTAAAAGATATATGATGATTTACAGGAAACAAGGAAACGTATGGAATCATTTTTGCTTGGTGACACTGGACCCGAAGTATTCTACGAAGTGCAGGAAACTGTTGTGGATACGATACAGGAGAAATATTATCACTCTTTTCTGCTTAGCGATCAGTATAATGCATTGATTGCTGAACTAGCTACAGAGGATGGTAATCAAGGTAACATTAAACTCTTCTTGCACCATCTATCATTGAAGGTAGGTTTTAAATTTTGTGGATATCGCCAAAAAGTCAATGAACACAGTTTGGTAACGTTTGAAAAGCAAAACATTACTTCTTAATGTTTTTGAAAACTGCAATGACTTTCTTTTATTGTTATTTTGTCATAGTTCTGTTTTTGAAAGGATGTTTGGAAGAGATAGCTTAAACGCGATAAGGCTGCTCATTGTACTCCATAGTTTATATTTCATATTTGTTGTTGAATGTGTGTGTTGTGTGTGTTGTGTAATAAAGCGTTAAAAAAAATTTTTACAGAGTTAATATCAGAACGGTCCCCAATAGAGGAGCGTCAATTGTCAAGTGAGTCTGTGTCATCTGCGGAAAGCGCGGGAACGGTCCACCTCACAGAGCATTCAACTTACGCGAGAAGAAAATTAGACCAGCTACAGGAAAAACATAACAATAAGACACAGGTAATATTAAAGCGGCTAATCATAAAGATATATTAAGTATTTACTGTTAACGTTGTTTGACATATGCCATAAATTATAGATTAATGAAATGACTAAAGATAAAATATATAGACATATAGTACACTATCAAAGTAAAATACATGAGTGTTCGACTATTTTCCTTGTATTCAAATGATCATATAAAAAATATATATTTCAAGGCATTGGCAGCGCTACGAGCGTCTTTGAAACCAGAGTCCCCAGCGCTGACGATGCTTGCGAACGAGGTGGAAAGATTAGCAGGAGAACAGATGAGACTTGAGGCTCACTTGGCGCGAACGGACACCTGGGCAGAACATCTGGGCAGGTGGAGAGCTACCGTGCACAGTGCTGAGGTAACTTACCCCCCATGACCACGGTTGCTGCAAAGCATCCGAAACGACGGGCCGTAGTTAAAATAATTTCCAAATAATATGTATATTAGCATCGCGGCTTTACCGTTGAAGTGTTATTTAAATGTGTGTGTACCGCTCGTGTAAACTACAGACAGTATTTAAAACTATGTTTTCATATAACTAATTTGACAATCTACATGTGTCAAATACTAGTTTTAATCTGTTGACTTTCACAGATAATAGATGAATCGAAGCCACCGCAGTTTGTGATAGTGGTACATATGGCTGAGCAGGATACAACAGATGAAGATAGACCTGAACAAATCACCACAGGTTGGGTGCTGCTCAAGACCCTCAATGAGTTCCAGGTAATTAGATAACAAATCTACCCTACATGTTTGTGACTTTTTTTAATTTTTTAAGGCTTACACACACATATGTACACATATATTATCAACATACAAAACGAATATATGTCATGAAATTAAAAATTATACAACAGTACAAGTTTTATACCTTATTGAATTGCTTCATAAATGGGATGAAATAACCAAGTATACGTGTTGTAAAGTTCCAGCACTGCAGTGACAAGCATTCAGCAGCACAGCTGAGCCTGGTACCGGTTGCCATCTCTTATCTTTTGTTTTAAGCACCCAATTTAGTAATAAGTTCCGCTCGCGCTTCCCTCCTCTTTAATCACACTATCTGTTAAAAAAACGCATCAAAATCTGTTGCGTTGTTTTAAAATTTAAGCGACAGAAAATCGACTATATATATAATGGCAATAATTGAATTAAAATTTTTACACGTATAAAATTGCTTGCGTAAATTGTTTGTAAATATGTAAAACATTTTCATTGTTTCAGGAACTGCATCGAAAACTAAGACCTATGTGTTCAGAATTAAAGAATCTAGAGCTGCCATCGAACTCATTTAAGTTTATATTCGGCAAGAATGATAGGAACTCTCTAGAAAAGGCTAAAATTTTAATACAAAAATATTTAGAGGTAAGCCCTTCTCAATAGACCTATATACAAAAATGATATTAATGTATGAGGTGGATTATATGTATTTTTTTACAGTTTGTTTTAGAAGACGATAGATTAAACCAATGCGAGGCTGTTTATACATTCCTTAATCCTAGTTCGGAGTATTTGAAGCAGGGAGATTTACCAAAGAAAAACAAATTTTCATTTTCAACATTGTTCAAGAGGTAATTTTGTAGAACCTCCTAATCTATTTATCGTTTCATTAACGATGTATATTGCAATCACAGAATAAATATTATTTTTATTGCTTAATTATCAATTGAGAGATATTTAAAACAATAATAACGCTGGCAATTCTTCAAATTGACAGCGTTGACAATTTGACTTTATTGACGATAAGTTCATTCTTCACAACTCAATCTATGCCTAACTACGATGATAACTATGATATATTTAAAACACTTTTAGCACAAGTAGTGACGCCACAAACAGATCGTCTCAAGAGAAGGACCCATACCAACACATACCGGCTGATGAAGACGAGATATCTATGTATTTAGACGGCAACGGTGGAGATGGGGCAGGCAAGAATATGACAAATTCTATGAGAGGTAACATGATAATTGTATATAAACGTCAATTACATATTTAAAAATCGTGTAATTAAGTTTCCGAAACTTTGGTGTTTAAAAGTTTTCCACTTTAAAGCGAATTCGACTAAAAGTGATTGCATATTACCCCATAACCAATTGAGCTACCGTGTCGCACATGTCAGCCTCATATTTCTTCAACCCTCAATGGCTTAAGGAAATCAATGGCAATTACATTGAGCGAGACACTTTTTTCAGTCGAAGTCCAAAATCGTTTATTCATGCAGGTAACTAAGTACACTTTTGTACGATACAAAACTAAAGAATGTAACTTTACATTTACTACCAGTTCTCAAATCGAGGGCGTAGAACAAACAAGAAGAGCTGGCAATAAACTCGCCGTCACTCCTTAAACTTTATTATATGCTGTGCATCTAACATAATAATTCATGTACTTATAATATAATAAGTGATGTATATATTAATCCTAGAATTTAAAAAAGCCACCAATACAACACCATCGGATTATATAGATAGCTAAATTGGTTATAGCAACAGCACGGAACGCTGTGGATCCTAGTTTAAGTCCTGACCGTGTCATTTTTTTTTCAATCTATTTTTTTTTATTCTGTGTGTACACATTTGTGTTTTCTTATTTCTTAGGTACTGGTCTGATAAGTGAAGAACGCGATAGTATAGCGGAACCTCTGTATGCACTATTAAGTGAAGTCTTCGATATGCGCGGAGTTTTTAAATGGCTGCGAAAAACGCTCGTCACCTTCGTGCAGATTACGTATGGTAGAACTATTAATAGGTAACTCCTAAATTAATAATCATTAATTAAATCAATATTAAGGCTACAGTTTCAAGTCACTTAAAATAAATATCTTTGGTGTACCAAAGATATATATTTTATTTTATTAATGTGACATATATTTTACCTATTTGTGATGTCGAGGATGGTCACAGGTTCAAGCTCTGTCTATGTTTTTTTTTATTTACCTTTATTATGTACAAAACGTTATAACATTATTATTGGTCGGGCTCGTTGTTTTAAGTGTAGCAAAGTATGACTAATAATCAGGGTTCGATCCCCACCGGGTCCATCGTGCTTCTAATTATTTTTTATTTTTCTGAAATCTGTCCGAAAATTTGGATATCAATAGGTGAGTGGAACCACGTCCACAGGAAAGAAGTCGTGAAGTTTAATCTCGTTTAACCGAAACAGCGAATTCAAACCCAAAATGGGTTTATACCACATCTTGTTGATATCTCATATAGCTACCATAAAAAAGTATTAAAAAGAACGACATTTTTGTGAAATTGTAAAATTAATGTAATTATAGAATCGTTTTTTAAGGTCAATATTATCAGTATTTTTCTTACACTTTAGTAACTCGTACGCATTAATTATTACTTTTCACACTTAGCGATATATGTCTTAATATTTGTTTACACGCGTCACTAAATAGGTGGGTTTACCTAAATCGGATTAAAGTATTATTGGATTTAACTTTACACTCTTGAGCAGATTATAGCAATAACTCTTAAAGTGGCATTTGTTTAGCTTCAATATTGATTTAGATAAAGGTTTTAAAGAATTGGATTTTTGTAGGCAAATAAAGGAGACGATATCGTGGCTTTTCTCCGAGCAAATGTTGCACTACTACATAACTATAGTATTGAAGTCGTGGTGGCCAAGTGGTGTGCTAAGCGAAGCAACGTCTAATCGGAATATAAGGGATAAAGGTAATCTATACTTATATTAGTAAGTTAGCAGTAATATTTTAAACTGTTCCTATGTGTTTTGTGCAAAAAAGAAAATGGTCCTTTGGATCCGGATATATGTAATAACTATATTAAATTTATTTCGTACTGTAGAGCACACTCGTACGCTAGCTCTGCAGCAGTTGAATGAAAGCATAGTGGGGGCGCTGTCGTCGCTAGTGGGTGCGCACGCGGCAGCGCGCGGAGCACATAAGCTCTTTCATACGTTGCAGAATAGCACGCACAATAAACAGCTCTTTTATGTAAGTATTTTTAAAGTTTATTACATAAACAATACGTCTGAAATATCTTTCGGAATGTACAGAGGATAAAATAGAATTAACAGTCATTTGATTGCGTCAGAAGGTCATCCTACATAACTTTTTTAAACAAATTAATGATTTCAAAAGTTACTATTAAGAAAAGAAAGAACCAAGTAAAGTAATTTAATGAAACTATTTATTTTAAACTAGTTTTAGTCCGTTTAGTTTTCGTAGACTAAGTTTTATTAGTATTTTTGTAAACAATAAAATTTGATAGAAATCTTTGCAAAACATTACAGAAATAGCCATCTTGAAATGCATAAAGTACACAAGTTATAACTATAATTATGTATATCGGTGTCATGTAAAAAAATATACACGATAATCCCAAGAAAATAACCGCCATTATAATATTTTTTACGTAGTTTGGTTTTCTTTTCACCTCGGACACTTCTACAGTCTGCGGTGCATCTGTGTATGAGGTCGTCTAAAAAAAAGGATTTGTCAGAGCATTTAAAATCAAATCTTAATTATGGTATATAAAGTAACTTACAGTATATCGCAAATTGTGATCGTTTTCGACAAATAGCATTTTCTCTCCAAGAATACATTCTGAAAAGAGTTAAATATTAATATTAAAATAAAGATACTTTAAATAGAATACTTGTAACGGTTTAAAACGAAATGTATTAGTTCAACTTATTTTCAAATGATTCTAACTACTGCCCGATATTTTGTCTCCCCTTGACCACGGCTGCTGCATAGTATCCGATTTTTGTTAACTACATGTATAGTTTTAAAACTTTTAAAAGTGTTTTGTTTAATTATGTACTACTTACTGCGAAAACTACAGACAGTATTTAAAGCTACTGTGTACTTTTTCTTATTGTTATAGTGATTTGGCTGAAGGTACATACTGTCTATAGTTTACGCGAGTAGTACATTTAAATAAAAACGCCTAAACGGCTGCTCCAAGCATCCGAAACGTCGGGCCGAAGTTTAAAATCATTTTCAAATAAGTTTAACTAATATATCGCGTTTTAAACCGTTAAAGTTTTTTATTTAAATCTGAGGGTACATATTATGTTTACCATATTACTGCCTATTATTATTTTATTTGGTCTTACGATTCTTTCTACAAATTACGAAAGCACTGATTACTTAGACTTTTTAAAACTTAGTATTTACAAATTTAATTACCACTGCTCTCGACTCCAATAGAGTTGAGTTCCTCCAACTCTCCGCTTCTTATAACTATCGTTCCATAATCTTCATTGTATCTGTACATTTCGTGAGCTAATATTTTTGCTATATCACTGCCGTTCTTCTCATACTGTCGTCTTATTTCGTTTAGAAAGAAGAATGCTCTAGATCGCTGACATGTCTAGAAATAAACGTATGTTATTTCCACATGCTTATATACTTACGTGTTTTATGATTGAAAATATTTTAACGGATATGGTCTAATGTTAGCAATGTATGGTTAAAATCAACAGGATGCGGGTTCGAATCCCACCGGGTCTAACATGTTTTTAAATTTTTCTGAAAATGTTCGACTTCGTCGATTTTATGTGTAGTAGGAATATCGAAAATTATGCCCGCGTTACGAACCGGAGTCCACAGATAAACGTTTAACGACATTAGGGATTCAGTCCGTGGCTTTCCGAATATCCAAAGTCAGAATAGGTCGATAGCACATCTTGTGTAGATGATATATGGCTGGGGTATTTCATCTACCATCAAATGAATCCCACGCTTTTCAGTCCACCTCTATTATTAAACAAATATAGACGATGCTGTCGGGACTTGAATCCACGACCGACCGAGTAAAGCTTTTCAATTACAATAATTATGTCTGTAATATAATAAATAAAATTCTCATAATATAAGGTCCGTTCTTAAGTTTAGCGCCAAATAAACCGCGAATTCAGGAAGTAAATGGTATTATTTCTATCATTATGAATAAAGATTCGGATGGAGTTAAGCCAATACGACGCTTCTGGACAAACCCCTATGCAAATTTTATATGTTGTATTTGTGCGTACTATATGTTATTAGTTTAATTTCATTATCATACAAACCAAGCCACTAAATTGTTTATTATCTAGACAATGGTATAATTTTTTTCATAAAAAAATGTCGAGTTCTTTTAAGACTAAATTACAATTAAAATTGTTACAAAACACTTACTCTATCCGTGATACAGAAGAACACACACTCCACTTCTTTTATATAGTGAAGCAAATACCGTCCGTGCGAGTAAGTCAATTTATTATCACACACCGGTATCTTCGAGACGACTTCTTCAGCAATGTCTTCGAAGTTTCCATCGCAAGTTGCGAACTTTTCTAATACGACTCGAGACAAAGCTATAGCACTGAATAATATAGGCATTTTAAATAAAAAAATGATTAGTGTTAATAACACATCTTTCGAAGTTACGACTTTTTAATGCGGCGTGTAGCGCGTGTTCTTAGGCGGGTGATCGCATTCAAACTTTCCGCGTCATGTAGATATCTCGTTCTTAAATTAGCCTAATGTCCGCAACGTTCGTATCTAAATTGTCACTCCCAATAACCGATACATTTTATGTTTGCACTTGGTCGGATCGAAAAGGACGTCTGTCTGTAGCTGTTGTATTTTGGTGCTAAAAATTTAAATGATCACTTAAGGACACACAAAACGCCAAAAAGTTTGCTTCATGCCCTAATAATTAGTATAAACATCAAAATAATGATATTTATAACAATAACTAGTTAGGTCAAATGTATGCTTACAAATTCACTTAAAAATAAAATAATACTTAAATACGATTTATAGTGTACGATACATACAACTGACAAGATTTAATGTTTTATTCGTTTATTATTGTTGGGATATTTTCGATTTGAAATTAAATACGGCATACCTCACTTTCAATTTGTACACGAAGTTCTACAAAAATGCCTCCAAGATTATTATATGGGCTATTTTAAAATTCTTAAAATACACGAAAGCTATATAAGTCGAAATCAAAAATCATTTATTCATGTAATTAAATAGTGTACCTAATGAACGTAACAAAGCTAAAGAATCTAACTTTACATTTACTACCAGTCTCAAATCACGGATGTAGAACGAACGAGAAGAACTGGCAAGAAACTCGACGCCACTCCCTGCATTTAGGGCCTAAATATTTTTAGTTCAAAATCATCATTGTATGTTAAAATTACTGTTACAGGAAATCTTCGAGCTGGTCCTCCTAGAAGTATTTCCCGAGTTGAAACGCTACCACACCGCGTCGCTCAACGAAGCCAAAGGGTACCGACAATAGGAAGTAATGCTTTACAGGGATGCACTTGAAATATTCAATTTATTTTATTTTTATACTCTTACTTTTATATCTTTGTTTATACCTTGTCTTATATAACAGCTAGTTTGACATTGGAGATGCTAACCTTTGTGAATTGTGCAGAAAAAAAAGATTACGACTCATTCTATTTTTATACTAACTGCTAACGTAGATTAAAAGTAATATATTATATTAAGAGGCTTTGAAGTACCCCGGTGGTTTGTAAACTCACCTACCTATATTAGACAAGGTATAATGACAAGTTGATTTTGCGTACGAAGTACGATCAGTTGACTTATGGTGTCCTAATTGCGCCTAAATGATCTCATTTTGCGACATTACTAAGTATAGGATAACGATTCCACTTTATTTTTCTCTGGAAGAAATATTTTTAGAATGTTTTTGAATCTTATTATTTTATAACGTGAGAGATTATTGCTTTTCAGTCGTAGCTACTGTAGCTACTCTTTGTTTTCAGAGTGAAAGAGACAAAAGATCTATTTACGTATCTTTATTAATAAGATATTTGTGATGACGTCACAAACATAGTGACGAAATGCATTCCATAGATTATTTTATAGTTAGGTTTAGTGTCAATGTTTTGCTTTCATTGGTGGTATTTTAATCAATATTTAACCGAAATTAGAGGTAAGACGAAAACCTGATTCTGCTCATTTACGAACAAGTGACACTCTAGCGAGTTACTAGCGACGATGGCTCTTGGTATAATCTATAAAAAAGTAAATAGCAGAATTGGGTCCCTGGTCTCTGTTAACTCACTGTTCGTTATCAATGATGTGCCGCACACATGTATTATCTGTGCAATAAATTTAAGCTTATTATAATCTGTGCCAATTTCACGCTCTCTACTTATGTCACGGTAATTTCGCGATATTAATTAAATTTTCCACATCGCTGCCTCTCACCTCCAAAAACGTATTTCGTACCTGACTGTTACATTAATTTTAAGTGCTAAATTTATTAAAATTTAATCTCTAAATGTTATATCATCGGGAACAAGTGTTTGTTCGTAACGTTTTTTACGGACAATTTTAATGCACTAAATTTAATGAATGCGTTTGTTGTACTGTCAAAATTGAAATTAATGCTTTTTTGAATATGGAACGGAAAACATACTACTGTGTTAAATTCAAAATCGATTATAAATTGAAAATAATCGTAACTACTTACTGTGTTTATCGATTAGGTTAGTTTCGGTCGAGCGAATTATTCTGTTTTTCGACCAGCTTTTCGCTCTTTGTTTGCAATAATTAACATTGTGAACTTGTTTTATGTGGAAGCTATTTTTAAATACCATTCTAGATCTAATTGGTCATGTTTTAACAACTCTTTTTCTGACGAGTCTTTTTTATTTACATTATAGACTTCGATTTATTAAAATTTAAAAAGTAAGCTATATATCAAAAATACGTAAATGTTAAGAATAAAATTACACTGCGAAAGAGGTGGATGCGTCAACTGGTTGAAGAAATTCGACGATGACGTGTAGGAGTCGGTAGCTCAATTGTTTGAAGCAGCAGCACGGATCGTTGATGCCGGTTCAAGTCCCGCTCATGTCCTCAATTGCTTTTAATAGAATTTCAATTTATAAAAATCAGTAAGTAATCAGAAACCGCATCGATTTCAACTTCTAACTGATCGCTTTTTGAATTTGAAACTTAGGCGTAAATAATGAAACGTAAATAAATATATGTAAAAAGACATTGAACAATTGTTATGGGCTGCACTACACTTCACTTACCTTTTTATACTATATTGACACCACATATTTTTATATACTGAATAGCGAGTGTTAAGTTACTCTTGTACATACTTGCTGTATTCTAATGTACCGTATTTTAAATACCATGTTATCTTTGCGCGGTTTAAGGGGCCTAGTCATTTTATACTGTAATTCACCGCATAACCCTCGTAATGGCCTGTAATAGCGTTTAATTATAGCAGATTACGAGCAGACGGTACAGTATTACAGTAGTACCAGACAGACTGACCAGCGACCAGCAGCGACGGTTAGGTATGTAATATCATTGAAATTTGTATAATAGTTTTGTCGTGCGATTAAATATAGAGAGATAGACGAAATCTAAAAGCTTTCTTTCAATTAATAACATTCATTTAAAATATTTACAATCAAATCTTTCCAATGTTAGACGCTACTTACGATAAATAACTTTTTAGCACCACTGAGTGTCTACTGATGAATTTTACTGGTCCATCTTGTCGTTTAGAAGTCGATTAATTTTAACTATCTATATGATGTAAAATGGCGGTTTAACCCGTTCAAAATGGTTTTATTTCATGTGTATTTGAATATACTACACATGCAGCTTCAAAGGATAAGATTTCTTCGGCTTCGCTTCATAAAGCACAACTTAGTCTAAGTTACATAACTAATTTTGTAAAAACCTTTATAAAAATATACTTACCTAAATTAAAACACTGAGGCGATCTAAGTATTACGTGTAGTTACTAATATATAACTTGTAAGTAATGTTTAAACTGTATTTAGGGCTATATTATATGTTATATTTTGACGTTATTTAGATGTATGTATAATGAGACATCTCTGTCTATAACTTAGAATGTTCAATAAAAATATGTCTTCATTATTTGTATTTCACTTTCATCACTAGTTTATTATATTAATAACTAGGATTACGCAATTGTGTAATTAACGTTTATGGCAGCGCACGCCAGAAGAGCTCACAGAAAGGTAGGTTTTTTCCTAGTTACTTGACACTTAATGTCATATTTTGGACAGCTTACACAATATCTTTATAAATTGTAGCCTATGTGTTATTCTCATGTATAAGCTATATTATTGGAAAGTTTAATTGAAATCTATTCAGTAGTTTTTGCGTGTAAACTTTCACGTTTATAATATTAGTCGGATACGTTACAAATTTTCCTTTAAAAAACAGAATCGGGGTGTAGGAATAACGATATTCCGTTTGGAATATGAACCAACGTTCACAATACGAATTCCATTTCAGTTTCAGCAAAGGGTCCGAAATAGTAAAAGCGTATCCCCCAAATAAAACGCAAATACATGTGAATAATTTCTATTTATTACTCTCAGTACAATAATAAATTTGGACAACAGTTTTAACACCTCGCTTTAGGAGAGATCAAAGGTGTAAAAGCTGTTTTTACTTATTCGACCGAATCTATGATATAAAATTAGGAAAAATGAAAGATTTCGAATTTTGGCACAGTCAATGGAGCGTTAGCTAAACTAAATGTAGCGAAATTAATGTGCGTTTTTAGCACCTCACATCCAATGCGAATCAACCAAATTAAATTTTCTTTTCCATCTCTAATCCACTTTACGAAGCGTCCTGGTATCACAGCACTCAACATTCCCCTCTTACACTCTATAACGGAACATATCAATTAAAATCTTTACTTAAAACTAATTACAACGTCATATAAAATTCTACTAAACAACTCTCGGGTGGTCTAAGTAATCCAAAATCAAATTTGGTCTAAGTAATCCAAAATGGCGAACGTATAATCTAAGATGGCGGACTAAATGATGAATTTTATTCATACACGTAGATGAGGAATCGCAATTATATCCTTAATGAATCTAATTTCATATATAAATTGTATTAAAAATAATAATACCGGTCATCGTTTATCGTCTGAAACTATTAATTGCACATTAAAATCAGACGCGTGTATTATTCGATAGTTATAAGTCTAGTTTGAAATACACTTTACATCAAAATATATTTAGCCTCTCCTATATACATACTTTTAGGTAACTGTATTTAAATAATCTTTGTCACTCGAAACTTAAAATAAGCCTTCAACGAGGTAGCCCAGCGATAGAATCATGTCGAAAACGAAATAATACTGGATTTTGAGCCACGTTCGACATCCGTCCTATAAGCTATCTATCTTAGATAATAATCACCCTGTGAAATGTCATACGTCCATAATGTTGCGATTGTATCCGAAACAAATCTGTTCGTGTCGTCCTTGTATAACATAGTTAATAATTCGAGAAGCACATAAATCTTATTCACTAAACAAATTATTGTGATATGAAACGTGAATGTTCGCAAGATACCCGCAAACAGGTTAATTTATGGTAACAAGTCAGAGACAAAACAAAATATTTACAATAAAATACAGGGGTGACAAAAGTGTCGTTATTAAAACTAATTATTTACAATTGATATTTTATTGTCACCATATTATCGTGGTGAATTAATACTAAGGATTAGTTTGCGTCATCTTCGCTGTTTGGAGTATTGTATACATAACATAAGTGCATCTTTTCTCGAACAAAATCCAACAGCGCCAAGAGGGCGCTATTAACAACGTAAAAGATACATTGTTACGCCGGGATATTCAAGGAGAAATAAAAGTCCCAAATTCCCACCAACCAGTGTGTTAAAATAAACTTCTAACCCTAGATAGAAATCTAACAATTGGACTCGTCGATCGCACCCCGTGAGCCGCGGAGAGCCGAGTGACAAGTGACTTGTATAAAAATAATACCGACATCTCATTACACCTTAAAGATTCTAGTTTGATAATGTCGGGTACTGACCAAATGCTAGCAGTGTAACGTTGATTTCGTAAAGAAGCATTTGGTCTGTACGCAGCTTTAGTGACCCGCGATATCGCGCTTACAAAACTCCGCGAGAACTTTTAGGATGGTTCGTCTTGTGCGCATTAAGTTTTCAAAGTTGGATATCGCTGTCTGAATTAGGCTCGACATACGCCAAGACGCCTAACAATACACCTATTAAACGACAACATGGAATCATTCTGTTGTTTACATCTATGTACATATTCAAAATATTCTCTAGATACTAAACTTCAGTTAGTGTTACTCGTAATAATAGAATGCTTCCACAAACGGGACTCGAGTAACTGGATAATTGATACGAACTCTTAATTTACACATCTTATAACGACGATATTTAGTAACAAGTAGTTCACTCATTTTTCATAATGGGTATTCGTTATGGATTGACATGTTGCTTTTGCCTAAACGTTCTACATCTGCATGTCTACCGCTAACTTGTTCTAGAGGCGTAAACCGGGTGTTCGCGAGAATTAACCTAATAACGAAATTAAAGACAACCTATACCTAAGTACAAATTGAGATGTAAATTGGTAAAATTGGAAAAATAAGAGGTAGAATCTTCCCGCGAAACCTATTTACGGTTCGATCTTCACAACACCTCCAACTACAGCATTGATCAGGTTTATTGGTGTCGCTGGGGCCGTTTAGGTGAAAGAGTGTAGCGTGACTGGTTCAAAGTCATCGTGTGTAGCCGGCCTTATAGGCAGGTCCTCATGAGGTGGTGGCGAAGGCAACAGACTCGTGCCTTCCGGCATATATACGTTTGTTACGCGGCCCTGAAACATACACATGTATTTTATTGTATTTAAAAACATATATCTTGATGCCCAATAGAGACTAAGTTACCTGGCTCTTCTCGTACTTGAAGAAATTATGCAAGCGATAATTCTTCCGTTCGCCATCTCCAGAATGAGCAGGGTCGCTCGCCTGGTCGTAGTTCGGGTTGTGGAATGATATGTGGCAGTTTGAATCGCGGTGCGTCTCCTTCATATCGGTCTCTCGATCTTTGAGTATCCGGACTAAGATTTCAAAATGTTTATATTAATATTTGGGTAAAGAACAAAAAATGAAAAAGGAATACCATACCAATACGTGAGTTATTGAAAAAAGTAAGGCATTTAAAGACAAGTCGTGTTTAATAGTGAAAAACGTGAAATGTAGTAGTCAACTAGTTTTTAATTTAACACCATTACGGCGTTTCGGACGTCCTAGAAGTATGGGCACGGGGGGACTATGTGAACTAATTTAGTATTTCGCCCTTTAAACCGTTAAAAATGTTTTACTTATATGTAGTATCGTTTACAAGGAATTGACTCGTACACAACTGCCATAAAGAATCCAAATTAATCTAACGCAATATCTTCATTTTTTATAAATACATATTTATTGAATGTTTTATTAGCAATCATTACTTTGGAGCGATCGTGTTCAATTGTTTAAAATGGCTTCTTGTTTGTCCTGTTTGTGATTTTTTTATTCAATTAGTATAATGAGTTTAGGTTGTAATTAGTAAGTAAATTAACTCACCACAAACAAAGGTGATAGCTATAGCACCAATGATAATGATGATCATAACAGACACGCCGATAACAATCGCGCCGGTGTTGGAATGCGCTTCAGGAGCTGGTGTGGCCAGGTCGATGTGCTCATAATCCATGTAGTCGTAGTTGGGTGGGTAACGAGACGGCATTCGTAACTCGACACGTTGTCTTGGTGCTGGAGAAAGTGTCAAGAATTAAATATCGTAAGTAATATTAATATGAAAATAAAACACGAACATACACGATGGAGTTAAGGAACCTCCTTCTTTTTCGGTAAAATATAATTTATAATGTTTATCAAGCCTTCAATTTCGAGACTCGTCGTTGAAAGGAAATATTTGTTTAATGCGAAAATTTCATCGACACCAACTTACTAGTCGAACATGTGTCGTCCGCATGGTCTGGACAACCACAAACATAGTCATGTCCTCTGAAGAAGCAGAAATGGGAACATCCACCATTGTTCTCCATACACGGATTCCAGCCGTGCTGTCGCTGATGGGACACTGCTTTTATTTCCATGGCCATTTCAAAGTTGGTGCTAACAGCGGTCACGTTCTTTCCGGTGTTCTTCTCTGCTCTCATTACCGCTTTCTTATACCAATCCGTCCAGTAGATGAATTCGCAGAACTATAGGAAAAATACTGTCTGTAGTTTACGCGAGTAGTAAACATTTAAATAAAACACTTTAACGGTTTAAAACATGAAATATGTCTTAGTTAAACTTATTTGAAAATCATTTTAATTACGGGCCGATGTTACTGCTATGATGCTATGCGATTCTTTGCAGCAGTCGTGGTCACGCGAAAACAAATTGTTAATGTCCAGTGTTCAGCCGTCTCAATTCACTTTTACAATACCTGAGTCATTCCGAAAGGATTCTTAGCGTCCGGTACAAGTTGTACTCGATGTAGGCCGTTCAGGTCAGAAGTATCGATTCTGTCCTTTAAAGCATCAGTCCAATAGAGCCTTCGTTCTACATAATCGATAGTGAGACCGTTAGGAAAACCTAGATCGTGGTCAACAATGACCTTCCTCATGGTACCATCCAATGCCGCTCTTTCTATACTAGGATTATCTCCCCAATCGCTCCAGTATAAGTATCTTTGGGAAAGTAATGCCATAGTCATTATTTTAGCTAACAGAATATAAGTTAAAATCATTTTATTAGTAATATAAACTATATCTTACCCCTTTGCAGGAAATAGCGCAACAGAGCGTGGTTCGTCAAGGCCAGATAGCAAAACCTTCCTACAAGTTCCGTCAAGCTTTGCAACTTCCACGACCTAAAATTTTTGCACAAAACTTTTGTATTTGACGAATAATACTGAGAACCATGACATGAGGAATGACTTTCAGCAACAGGTTAATTTGTTTCTAAATAAATGACAATTTATTTAAAAGAATGATTTGAAGATTTAATAATTGTTTTCAATTCATTCTATTCAGTAAACCACACATACTACAAAATCTTTAAGAGAGTAGAATAACAATAATTTGTAATGTTGTCAAAATTATAAGCCAAAAATACCTTTAACCTACCTTATATTCGTTATCCGTCCAATACAAGTTATCGGCTATCCAATCCACAGCTAAACCATTTGGTGTTTCCAAGCTCGTGTTGACGATCATTTTATTCTCAGTCATATTTTCCATGTTTAACGTCCTGGAAAAATTATCAACCATATATTACACAACTTATAAAGGTTTTATTTCGGTGTTGTTCAAAACTTACCTGATTTCGTTAAGCTTCACATCTGTGTAGAAGATAAGTTTACGATCCCAATGAAAATCGATTGCTATAGAACTCTCCATGTGTTGTACTGGAATATTAATGTCCCTTAGTTCTGGTGTGTCCAGGGAAATGATGGTCATGCTAGTGCGAGTTGCAAATATGAGGAAATTCTCTGGATGCTTCTTGCATTTTTTCGGTTCGGGATCTGTCGTGTTTTCAAATAATAATCCCGTTGGACAGGCACATGAGAACCCACGAGAGTTTCTAAGGCATAAATGCGAGCATCCTCCATTGTTCGTTCCACAGACGTTGTCCATTTTATAGTCACTCTACAAAGCATCGAAGAAATATAGATCGTACACTTTTATTTTTATTATAGTCTTACGTAGCTAGTAATTACCTGAATTGCTCTTATGTCCATCAAACCTTCCAGATTGTCTCGTATTATAAGTTGATCTTTAACGTTATTCTTATCAGCTCTATGCAACGCTTTAGTTTTCCAATCAGTCCAGTAGATGTATTGCCCAACGATAACAATGCCATACGGGTATGGCACGTTACTAAGTATGGTCTTGCGAGCCCAACCGTTGAAGTCCGAACTTTCGATGGTGTTAGCTTTAGCGTCGTTCCAGTAAATTCTGTTTTCAATGCGATCCACTGCCAGGCCGTTGGGCCATTCGACGCTTTGGGTTACAATGACACGTCTGAAATATACAGTCATATTATTCTTACATTCTGGTTAACTTTGAAAATTCTTTTTTATTAAAAAGAGATGAACTGAAAGAGTTTACCGATGTGTTCCGTCCATATCAGCTCGTTCTATCTTAGCTTCGGTTCCCCAGTCAGACCAAAACATGTAACCGCGTTCGTAATGCAGAGCTATGCCTCGAGGTGAATCTAAAATTTGTCATAGTTATAAAAAATATTCACTAACGTTTAACTAGTTTAAATTATGTATTTAACTACCAATAGAACTGACCTAGTCCTGTCCATACGAGTACTTTGCGATTGGATCCGTCCAACTCGGCTACTTCAATACTGTTGCGACCACCATCCGTCCAGTACATCTAAAAGACACATTTATTTAAACAAATATAGTATAACAGGTACAGGTATAATTTTGAGCCAACTTGCTGCTAAGAATATCTTCAATATCTTACCTTCCTTCCAGAAGAATCAATAGCGAGACCGTCAGCTGTCTGCAATCCTCTAGTGATGATAGTTTTCACTTGATGACCGTACTTGTCTGCACGACGTATTACTCGCTCAGCAGTGTCGGTCCAGTAAATGAGACCTTTAAAATACATAATATCTATTCTTAATCATAGGTTATATTAGGTCATCTTAAATCTTGTGCAGACCTTAACATTTCGTGTTGAAGAAGTAATAAACTTTTGGAAGTTTAGTCTAGATGATATATAAAGTTTATTATACCAGTATTTTGATCAACATCGACTCCAAGAGCATTTTTGAGCGCCAGGAAAGGGAAGACAACATCGACGAGGTAAGGTACATCAAAGGAGACGAAGCGAATGTCCACCCGGTGAGCGAATATCAGGTAGTTTACTGGTCCATCTGCGCACCGCTTGCCGTCCTCCTAGCAAAGTAGAATGACATGAATTACTTAATTAAGTCTACTAATATACATATTACATACATATGACTATCCTAGTATTCCGTTAAATGCGAGTAGTTCTTGGTTCGAATACTAGGGAACCTTTTGAATTTCAGACTGACAGGGCTCAAAAAATGATCAACTTGTTACTTGTAAATAAAAAAAATCTGTTAAACAGACATTAACTACCTCCAAGGCCACAGAATTTCAACACATAAGAAATAATAATTACCATCAATTTAACACCTGTTGGGCATGCGCATGTTCGTCCATTGGGTTTCAAAAGACAGAGATGTGAACAGCCACCATTATTTCTGCTGCAACTGAAAGTAAAATAGGTTTATTAATTTTAAACAAAAAATATTCTAATTTATTTTGTACATTAAAATTGACATTGAGTTTAAGTAATTACCGACTATTGCCTCCCTTTCTCTCTTTGTGGAATACTCTAACATCCATGAGTCCTTCCACGCCGGCTCCCAGCGTCCGCCGGTTCTTCCCCGTGTACTTGTTAGCTGCCTGTATCGAGTTTGCATCCCAATCTGTCCAGAATACTTCATCCCCGTAGAGGTCAAGACCAAAGGGGTGAGGGAGGTGCTGTCCTGTTGTATCAAATAATATCTTGATTAATTAAACACGTTGTAACGGTTTAAATTTAACAGTTAACAATTAACGCTTTCGTAATTAATGCAGTTTCTAAGGGCCGCAAATACTTTAGTGTAAACATTTCAAAACGAGTCATTTCATACGTAAAAACAGTAAAACTTAATCATATACTATGTTTGCAATATAAATGCATGAATGTATTAGTACATCAAACCTTCTTATAATATATTTCTTCTAATAATAGTTTAATTGTAGACAACTACCTTGTCTGAGTAGAGTTGAAGGCTCTAGGGAAGGCTTACCAATCAACACTGTCCTGCCACTACCATCGAGATTTGCGTATTCTATAGTCCGGTTACCACCATCGGTCCAGTAAATGCGGTTATTAGCCAGGTCGAGAGCTAGACCATTGGGCCATGTCATGTCACCAAAAATAAGGCGCTTACGATTCCCACCATCCATATCAGCACGCTCTATACACGGGACTTTGCCCCAGTCTGACCAATACATAACACCACCTACAGTAAACAAAACCCCATTCAAGTATTTGTAATCGTTCAAATGTATTGGAACTAGGTTTATTACTGAATTGCTATACAAATTACCTCTTGGATCGACTACTATGTCCCTCGGTTTGTCAATATTCTCCCATGCAAGGAGGCTCCTCATAGTGCCATTTGAGTTAGCCACTTCAATGCGGTTGGTACCAGCGTCCGTCCAATATAACTTATCCGTCATCCAGTCATATGCGAGACCAGCTGGCGAAACTGTAGAAAGAAATATGTAATACTTACAAACGATTGATATTTTCTTACAAATTATATTTGGATTAAATAAAATTTTATTTCGAAATTTGATTTTGATTCCGAGAGGAGCTTCAGCTTTAACGTTGACTAGACAATCAGGCTGAAATCTGAAGATTAACTTGGAAGGTATCTGGAATATGCGTTATATTGGCAAAAACCATGAAACAATAATATCTCTTATGCTTTATTTATATTTTAAGTCAAGTAATCGTTGTTCTTGAGTGTTTAATAAACTTTTATTTTTAAATGAGTAATTTACTTGGAGCGGGCAATTAGATTAGAAGTTTGCAGCTAAAGTTCCTTCTAATATAATTCTATTTACCAAAATCGAAATCAGAAGTACTTACTCAAATTCGTATTGACAACAACAGTCTGATTTGAGCCATTGAGGAAGGCACGGTTGATTGTATCTTTTTCAACGTCTGTCCAAAAGATTCTCTTTCGTGAGTGATCCCAATCTAGTGCTACCGCTGATTTTATGCTGTCCACCGGAATCACCTATGGAAACAAATTTTAATTAAGTACTGGCACAAACAAATAATGAGCTGATGATGATATTCTTACCATATCCAAAGAATCTATTTGCTTGCGAGGATTGAGTAATTTCAACCTTATATCCTTCCTTCTTGCATAAAGCAACAGTTTATCAGGTGTATCTTCACAAGTTCGTCTGGAGTGTAAAATATTTTTTAATTTAAAATATCTTCAAGTTTAATTCTAAATATAATTATGTAATATACATTTTTACAAAGAAATTACGAACTTACCCATTCGGCTTAAGATTATATCCAATAGGGCACCGACAAGTATAACCGTTACTATTTGGAAGGCAAAGATGGGAGCAACCCCCGTTGTTAGTGCCACAGCGGTTCTTGTATGTATTCAATTGTCGAAGTGGATGGAAGCTGAAAAGCACCAAAAACTTAATGTATTAATCTTTTAAAAAGTCATAAGTCGCTTGCCGCTTGATGGTCCTATGATAGCATTGTGTGTCTGATAGCCAAAGGGTTGTGGATTTTATTCCAGAGTCTGTATATCAGAAACAGCCAATCTGGATAGACTGTACATTAAATGAGTGGTAGGAATTCGAAATTCCTTCGAGTCATCAATGTAAATTCTCATGTCAGCTCGATAGCACACCTTAAATAGATGTCTATAAGGCTGGAATATCTTGACTTGAATACTGTCTATAGTTTACGCGAGTAGTACACATTTAAATAAAACACTTTAACGGTTTAAAACGCGATATATTAGTTTCGGATGCCATGCAGCAGCCGTGGTCAGTCTCCCCGTGACAATCGCTGCTGCAAAGCATCCGAAACGTCGGGCCGAAGTTAAAAATCATTTTCAAATAAGTGTAACTAATATATCGCGTTTTAAACCGTTAAAGTGTTTTATTTAAATATCTTGACTTGCATAAAATTAACCCCATGCTTATCTGTGTCTCGTCATATAAAAAAAATAAAGAAAGATTACCTCTGAATATCCATTGGAACTTGTAAGCTAGCATGTATCGTTTGTATTCCCATGCCCGTCTTCTTATTGATAGTTGATATGCTTTTAGTGTGCCAATCCGTCCAGTAGATAGCATCTTCAAAAACTGTTAATGCAAACGGGTGTGGTACTCCTTTGTTTGTTATCTAAAAGGCAAATGGAAGTTATTAAATAACCACGTTATTCCGTAATTTATTGTATATATTGAACACTTACTCTTTTTCTATCACGACCATCGAATGACGCCTTCTCTATGACATGATGCTTAGCATCCGCCCAGTAGATCTTCGACTCCGTGTAATCAATAGTGAGACCATTGGGCCAGAAGATTTTATCAACAATGACACTCTTGCGTCTGCTTCCGTCCATATCCGCTCGTTCGATTTTAGGATTTGGACCTACAGGAACAAATATGTTTTATTTACCAAGAAAATAATTATTAAATAAAGGGCACATAATTTGATGCAGATCAATGAACATATTTTCTTCATTCATATAAATATTTTTTTATACATAACTCACCCCAATCAGTCCAAAAGACCAAGGCATCACCCGGATGTACAGCAACGGCCCTGGGCTTGTCTAAGTCACTAGCAGCAAGTACAGCTCGCTGCTGTCCATTCAAAGTAGCAACTTCAACCCGCCTCGTCCCCGAATCAGTCCAGAAGAGTAAATCATGAATCCAGTCAACTGCCACTCCACTCGGAGTCTCCAGTCCCCATCGTATTACGTCTACAAGTGAAATATCTGCTATACGCTAATTATTATAAAAATAACAATGTAATAACCTTGATAGATATATTGTGTAAAGTGTATTTACCTGTCATGTTATTGCTGTCCAGAGGTGCAACACGAATAACTTTCATGTTATTTTCAGTCCAGAATAACAGTTTCTTATTGTAGTGATAATCCAAGGCTACAGCGTTATGTAGGCCCTTCAGAACTGTTACGTAGTTGTCACCAGATAACCAAACCTTTAATTGTAAGACCCATTAATAAATGTTACCTTAAATATAAGAAGTAACTAAGGGGTATGTATAGTACCTTGCGGACACCAATACGGTTTGAAAAAAGGAGTGTTGGTGATTCTCCTGTGGCCTTGCAAGAGCGTTCGTCAGGTCGCAAAACGTATCCAGTCATACAGCCGCAACGGAAGCTGCCTTGAGTATTTGAGCACGTTTGAGAACAAACAGGATCTTGTTCGTACATACACTCATCGATGTCCCGACAGCTGAAAGGGTAATAAGTATTAACTATCTACAGCATAAAAATCCCTTAAAGTGTATAAAGAAAAAACATTAATTTCGTAATTGTCAATAATCGTATCGACCATAATTTTAATATCGAGTGTAACGCTTTCGACTGTGTCGCCTGATGTAATGATATTTAAGCCCTTGGAGGAACGAATACTATGCTTTTAACTAATTATATTATTTATTTAATTAAAAGTGAATGCACCCTCAAAAAACCCTTCAAACTAAAGATAAAATAAAAGGAATTTATAAACGAGTCAATACATTGTACAAATGACAATAGTTTTAATAGATTAAAAGAGATTACGTGTTGAAATCGTATTTATAAGCGTAATGCGCGTTATCCTACAATCAATATCAATGATACCCCTAATACCTTAGATTTATTCAATGCTTTAGCTGTTTTACATAGATACCGTTTAAGGTATAATACATATTTACGTATATTGATATACTACAGATGAACCTCCGAACCGTAACTATGAAGCTCTCCAGGCTTCGAATTTAAAACATCTTAGGCTTAACGATAGGATTACTTTAGATATTTATTCAAAAAGGCGGTTATACATTGTACAGCTTGTATTAGGAATAACTAGCAATGTTAGCGACTTCGTCCGCGTAAAATAGTTATTTTTTGCATCCAAATTTGTTTTTGCAAACCTCTTCATCTTTATGAACTTGAGCCCGTTGTTCTTGCAAGTTAATCTTAAAAGATAGACATATAAGTGTTACGGGCTTTTTTAGACCATTTAAAGAGGAATCATTCTTTCATAAAAAATTTTTGGCTATCTTGAACCGTTTTTGCAGCGTACTCTTCGACGTTTTTATCACATTTCTTCCTGTTTTTTTGTTCCTATTAGTCGCAGCGCGATGTTTTATAGCCTATAATCTTCCTCGATAAATGCTCTTTATATATTAGTATAGATGTTTGTTTTTAACCTTACCTGTAACCATCATCACCCAGCAAGTACCCCAACGGGCAAGAACATGCCGGTTTCCCATCAAAAGTCATGATGCACTGTCTTTCACATTTGTCCCTTGCCGTGCACTTTCTCTTCTTCGGACATTTCTCTTCATCGTCTCCCTGGGGACAGTCCTTCATGCCGTCGCAGACGTGTTTCCGATTGACGCAATTCCTGAATGCGGTGCTGACTAGACTCTTGCACATGTATTGATCTTCTTCACATGACACTTCACAGTTAGTTTCATCTTCTCCGTTAGAACAGTCACGAACTCCATCGCACAGCCAGGTTTTCTAAGGAAATGTTTTAATTGGAGTTTCTCAATTAAAAGTTCTGAATTTAATAACCTTACAAGCTTTGCAATTGTAAATTCTATCTACATTTAAGATTTTGCCTAAAAATATATTTTTATTTACCGATATACAACGTCTATCTTCACACGTATGTTCATCAGCTGTGCAATTCCGGATACCGAGTGCCTCACAGTTCAACTCATCGTCGCCATCTGTGCAGTCTCTGTCCATATTGCATCGCCAGCTTTCCGGAATACAACGACCGTCGTTACATCTACATAAATACAAAGATCTACAGTTTCAAAAACCTAAGAAATTAATAACTTTAATATAAAGCCTTTATCAGTTACTAGCTTTAACTTTGCCTTAAAATTTGACTCTACCAATGACCATTAAAATCGGAATTAAAATTGTAAAGTAGTTGAGCAAATCATTTAAAATTAATGAACTATGAATTAAATCCATTATTTTATATTCCACATAATGATTAAAAATCAAATACTTTTTATTAAAAAATAATGTTATCCAGTACTGTGAAATTTGACTAAAAAATAATTTAAGCATGTGTACAACAGAGGGAATCGTCCTAAACGTATCTCGTTCATCTATTCTTGGTATCAACATACTTATATTCAGCAGCGTTGCAATTCCCAGGTAGCAGTGGGCACGAGTCCTCATCAGTCCAATCACCACAGTCATTGTCTCCGTCACATTGGAAGTCTTTCCGGACACACTTGTCATTGTCGCATTGGATTTCATTCTCACCGCATCTCAGTAAGTCAACAGCTTAAAAACGATATAACTTAAGCTGAATGTGATTCAAGAGAACTTTTAAAATAGGTTAGTACACTTAAGAAGTGCTATTAAGCAGTCCCTATTCAAGTTTTAATGCCATGTTCGCTACAGCCATTATAGGGTATGTTAAGTTATTCTATATTGGCCTGAAAAGTTATTAAGAAGAGTTAATTGTTCTTTTTATGATAGAGAGCGATAAACTAACAGGGGATTTACTTGATGGTAGCTGAAATACCTCAGCCATATAAAATCACAACAAGATGCGATGTCGACATCCACAGAGTCAAACCTAAACGCGATTATGCTTGACCATCTGTGGTTGGTGGTTCGTGATTTCGTTATTCCTATCTCACATTTCATATCCATATTTCCAGACGAAGTCTGATGTTTCAGAAAAAATATAACTTGATGCTAACTTGACCCGAAGGGGATCAAACCCACCACCCGTCTTATTATACATTGTTACTATTACACTAACGAGCCCATCGAATTTAGTTCAAATTTTGTATCATATTATCTCTGTTGAGAAATGTTGAGAATCTTCAGAAACTACGAGGGTTAACTGAAAATGGATAAGTATCACTCTCAAATACTTACGACACTCAGTCTCGTCCGAATTGTCAGGACAGTCGGCTTCTTTATCGCATCGCCAATGAAGAGGTATACAATCACCGGATACACAAGTAAACTGCTTTTCTCTGCACCTAAGGATAAAAAATAAGCGTATAGACAAGATAAATTTATCTTTGATTAATCTAGAAATTTAACGACTGTCATCAACGTGTTGTTCACGTTAGATAAACAGCATATAACTCCAGAAGCAGAACCCTTTAACTTAACTTCCGTTTTATCTTTCATTATAGCTATATTTCATAGTTTGAAATACCCTTTTGTGAAGTGATTTAATTCATATAATGGACTAGCTATCTCTGTCTATCGATCTTAATTCGTTATCGAAAGAAAATAAATAAATTAAAAATACCCTACCTACTTTTCAAACAGCTTTAAATTGTAGAAGTTATCGCTATCGCATTTCAAATGTTATCCGATCTAAAAATGTCAGCGGTACAGGTCAAAGGGAATTTTATTTTCCAAGAAAAACTATTTAAATTAAAAGTGTAGTGTTCAAATCAAGGACTCCTACGAGGTAACATAATTAAAGACGGTATGTTTCAATACATCCCTCGCCCACGGAAGTATCTACCGGGTGGAAGATATATCGGGTGACGGCGCAAGGCTTGTGTGGGCGCGTTGCCATGGCAACGGGACAGCCCCGCGCGCCCGCCCTCGCCGCCCAACGCATTATCGATCCGCCCAGTGCAGGCTAACCTCGATTCCTTACAATAAGTCGCAAATTGAACACTTTTTATAATATTGCATTTACTTATAATAAAAAAAAACCTACTGATATTCTAATTATATACGTCATTTGTCCATCAAGCAATTTTTTATACGGAGTCTTAACTCGGAATGAATTTCCATCGTATGCCTAGTACAAATAAAAGTCAAATTCAATTGACTCTATAATCCGTTTACGTTAAACGCGAAGGCTTTTATAGGTTTCAATCGAGGATTAGGTCACGTAATGTATGCAAAATAAATCAACTGACGTAACTCTACGTCAACGAGACGAGTTCCCCATCAATGGGATTATTTCCATCTCGCCAACCATTGTTATATATAGCTATACCCATAGCAGTTTTGATTACGCGTCTATTATCCATGTAATAATTACCTGATGTTATAAATAGGACCACCTTGACTTATTGGTTGCATTTAAGCGCGAGATCTTCCGGGTTCGCATCCGGGGAAACTTAAACAGTTTCAAATGGGCAGTTCTTAACCAAAAATATGTCTAAATTTCTACCATAAATGTGAACCTCTAAAGATGACTTGTTGTTGGTTTACTGTGTTACGGCTTGACTTTATTTGATAAAATTTGTCTACGTGTATAGTTATCATTATGATTTCTAGAAGAACACATTTTTCTCTTATAAAAGTTATGTTTTTGCAAGATGGAAAATGTTTCAATTTTTTTTTATTGCTTGGTTTAAATATATAGAGTGCTGATCATATTTATCTTAATAGAATGTGGCTTAATAATTTAGAAACATATTAAATACTGTCTATAGTTTACGCGAGTACGCATTTAAATAAAACACTTTAACACCAAAAGGCGATATATTAGTTAAACTTATTGAGAATGATTTTTAACTTGGGCTCGACGTTTTGGATGCGTCAATTAAAGTGTTTTAAAATAAAATTGTCAACATTTCATCGATTTTTTTTTTAAATTAACAAAACTCATCTGCAGGCCGATTCTCGTATTAATATAAGTCAAACACGTTCGCGTCAAGTTTACGTGACGCCAGCGTGTATTTGACAATTCGCTGGCGTACCTTATTGGATAGTGGTCAAATTAAGAGAATACCATCGGCGCTGAATCGAAACCTAATCGCAGCGTGACTGCAACTTGATCCAAACGTCATTAAATTAGTAGAATCGGCCTGCTGGTAAGACACTAGAATTAATTATAATGACTGATAACTGCAAAGTGGATGTTGTCATTTTAAATTTATTGTCGCTCTTGATTGTTATTTTAAAATATTATTATTACAGTTTAATCCACTGTTAAAAATAATTGTGATAATTCTAACTGTAGAGTACCTAATAATAAGTACACATAGTTACTGCGAGTGTCTTAATCTAGTGTAATTTATTGTTAAGTCTTAATCAAAATCTCAACGTAGCAACAATAATTTTAATAGCACCTCTATATCGTAAAAAAGTTAAGTATTAGATTACAATAATTATATTAATGTATATATAACATAAATACATTGTCTGTAAAATTAGTAAATAAATATTAAGTTAAACCTGAATAAACATCTCTTGACAGTATTTACACTCCCACGTATCTGTAATCGTACCTACCTGGATATTTTTACTTTTCACGTTTTCAGGGACAATTTCAGGCTAAGATAGAATACCAACATTCGTCTTTGATCTAAATGCCTTGATGTTTATTATAATAAGGAGTTATACTTGGCGGTAAAATAATATTTTAGTATTGACTATCCGAGATTCTTTATAAAATAAATATTTTGGTGTTTCACGCATTATATTTGCTTCTGTAACAACTAACAGTGTTATTTAATTATTGCTGAGCTCGTTAATTCCTGAACTGATTTGTTTATTCTATTAAAAAAAAACACTTCAACGGTTTAAAACGCGATTATATTAGTTAAAATTATTTTAACTACGGACTGACGTTTCGAATATGTATCTCGTTTTAAACCGTTCAAGTGTTTTATTTAAATGTGTACTACTCGCATAAACTACAGACAGTACTTGATTGTATTGTCAAATGATCAAGATTTGGTTGTAATAATAATAATAAAAACTCAGAGAGAAGAAAGAAACTCAGAAGAACATAGATACGTATGTATGTAAATTAATAAAAACACCTTTGATTCTTTGTAATTAGTGCATGCAGTTGTCAATTTAGAGTTTGATGTTGAAAAGCAACCAGGATCATAGATATCGTTTAAAAAATAATGAGTTGATGACAGGGTAGGCAAAATTTTGTCTTTTTCACCGGACTTTTATAACGGAGTATTTCCCGATACTTTTAAAAACGCACTCTGTTGCAATATAATGTCGTCTAGTACTTACTTTCCCTTGGGGCAGTTCATTTCATCAGAGTTGTCTCGACAGTCGTTGTCACCATCGCACATCCATTCCTTGTGAATGCATAGGCCATTCGTGCACGAAAATTGTTCTTCAGTACAGTTTAATTCCGCACCTGGATAAAAGAGAAAAATATATGTACACGCTTTGTTTCATATAGAATAGAGCATTAAAAAAAACACGGTAGTCATGTGTGTAGATCACTATGTAGCTTAGAGTAATTTAATATAAAAACTTTAACGATTTAAAACGCGAAATATATAAGGTAAATTTATTTATATTTAAGATCGAATGCTTTGCAGCAGCGGTTATAACGGTCCAGTTAAATATAATAGTTAAGAAAGTTTAACATATATTTCGCGTTTTAAACCGTTAAACTCCCATAAATTACAGACAGTATTTAGCTCTAGATAATTTAGCTCAAGTCTTACTTTTATGTTATTAAATATATATAGTATTAAAAATACATAATATATTTATTATACAATACATGATATCTTGCTTTTTGAGTATAAATTCCTATTTTTTTTTTGTTTGACTACATTTCATTATTATTGTAAAAATGATACAGCATACCACAATGAGTTTCATCAGAAAAGTCGCCACAGTCGTTGTCACCGTCGCAGAGCCAATCAAAAGCGATGCACACATTCGTCCCATGGCACAGAGTACGGTTATCCTGTTCATCACACGACTTCCTGCAGCCGGCTTCGTCTTCCGCATCAATGCAGTCAGCAATGCCGTCGCATCTTTTCTCCAGTTCTATACACTTGCACGATGCCTAGGAAATTAAAACGAAAACTTACTTGAAGCTACTGTTACGCGTCTTAAATGCGAATAGGTTCTTAATACTATAAAAGTATTTAAATATTCACTGACTCGGGCGGACTCGAATCCAGGACCACAGTACTCTGTGCAGTTGCTTAGTAGTTAATGGTAATTGTATTTTTGTACATTTATTCGATAAGCTGCGTTAGCGCCGACATTATTAATCAATGTTTAGATTTTATTACCTGGCAAGAGAAGTATTCTTTAGAGCAGGGAATATGACATCCGCCATCGTCATTACCATCTTCGACGTCGTCAGCTACTACATAAGATTCTTTGGCGCTTACGTAGATCCGACCATTTGCTGTAGCAAGCCAAAAAAATACATTTTAAGACCTTAAGTACCTTATGTCCCAAAAACGATTTAGAAATTCCATTTATGGCATTGATTTATAAGAAGAATTTTAAGTTTTTAAGAAATTAAAATAAAACCATTTTAACCGCTTAAAATGCGATAAATATTTGTTAAATTATTTTAACTACGGCCCGACGTTTCGGATGCTTTGCAGCAGCCGTGGTCACGCGGAGACCACGGCTAATGACCACTTATACATATCGCGTTTTAAACTGTTTTATTTTAATGTGTTCTACTCGCGTTAACTATAGACAGTCCTTCTCTATAAGTTAATCGTAAATCTGTTTAAATTCTAGTGAACTATTTTTATATACTCACGATGCCAAGCGTCGACCCGAGTGTACGGATTATGGGGTCTGATTCCTGGAACTTGTATTGGCCCCGGGATACCAATGGCAGGAGGCTGGTAGGGCGGTACGCGGCCCACGGACCGCGTATCGGGCGGTTCCACCGAGCCATTCGCGTAGCGATTTACAGGAATCGTTCCGAAGTCGTCGCAATATCCTGATAAAAGATAGATCAATTAAATTCGATAAAAATCCCTTCATTCTTATTTACAGTGAAATAATAAAAAACTTGTTAAAATAGCACTTGTAAGCTAGGCATTTCAAAGTAGAGCTTGTCCTTTTGTACACAGCAGGTGGATTGCGGTCAAATGTAATCTATCTCCTTCAAAATAATAAATAAAAAATTCTTACCACAATGGATGATCATAAAGAGATACAGAAGTTGTTTCATCATTTTGGCGGTTGTTGCGCAGTGGTCAGGCACCGTTTAGGTCACCTGGTCGTTCAAGATGTCTCGATTTCTTGCTGTCGGGTAGTGTAACATGGCTCGCTTTGCCGGCTCACTCGAGAGATTCCTGTCGTTATCAACGCATACGTTAAAAAAGGCTGTTACTCCATAATTACTACTATACCGATATTTTTCTGTCCTTGAATTGGAAAATCAATCAATAAAGAGAATAGATACACAAAGAAAAACAAAAACAATTTTCGACTCGGGCAGGACTTGAACCGCCCCCCCCCCCCCCCCCCCCACTTTTTTTCCCTTTTTCTTCACCCCCCCCCCCCCCCCTTTTTTTTTTCTTTCTCACCCTTTTTTTTTGGTTTTTTTTTTTTTTTTTTTTTGTTAAGAACAAAACATTTAAATTTAATTTAGACATTTTCATAAACAAAAACGGTTCATCATACCCAAAATATATGTAAAAAAAACGAATTAATTTACACTACATTAAAGCAAGTAACCACAAACGAAATACCTACTGCTTTGCTACCTAGAATTCAATCTCGCGGTACTTGTTGTCTGATACGGGACAGACTGAAAATCAGCGTTTAGCAATCCATGCTGACCACAGCCTAAGCCTGATTCCTTATAACACAATTTTTTAAAGTTAAATTTGTCCTTTTTTATCCTCCCATTTTTAGTTTAGTTGTAACTTATGTACATATCTAGTTTAATCAACGGTTTATTTACCTATCTATTTTTTATTGCATCGATTATTGTTATATAGGGCTTACTAATAATACTCGATTCACAAACAAATTTGTATTAAATTTCTATTATTAATATTTCATTGAATATAAAATATGTTTAAATTATTTGACAACAGTATTGGTTTTGAATAAATGTTATTAGCTTAGATAGCTAAAACTGTTCAGATTCGCTACTTATTCAATAGACAATCTCATTATACAAATTGACTCTATATAAATTCAGTTCACCCACACAATGACGTCAGTATCGTAATTATTATGTATTAAGTTATAGAGTATTTTTGTCTTCGAAATTCATGAATTAGACGAGATAAAAATAGAACTTCAATTATGTGAGTAGTCGCCGAGCGAAGGATTATCGCTTTTTTACGTTTATAGATTTGCGTAATGAAATCACTGTTTTTACTAGTATTTCTTGCGTACGTGTAATAAAACGTAAACGGTAACTTAGTAGGTTTACTAAATTCCACATCACATTTATCGAGGGTGACTTTAGACTATAAAACGTCAGGTGGTGAACAATTGGAAAGAAAAAACAGTGGGAAATGTAGAAAATAACCGAAAAACTTATTCATGTTTTTGAGTTTCCATTGCATTCAAAATACCGAAAAAATATGTATAAAAGAATGATTCACTCTATAAATGATCAAAGAAATGGTTGGACGTTTTTTAAGATTAACTTTCAAGAAAGAAGCGACGACCCTGTGTATAACATCTATAATATGTAAAGATGATGAAGGTTTGCTAACTTCGTTTAAAATAAATAAACATTTAAAATAAAATATCGTCTTTTCACTTTAATAAACCGCGTAAGCGTTAATAAGAGCGTATTTAATTAAAAAATACGTAACAGTCAAATATTAGATTTGAACAGAAAAATACGATTAATTTTAACGCGTTGTTGCCATTTTCCTTTCAAATAATAAATTAAGTTTAGTTGCAAAGTACACATTACTTAAGTTTTTGTGATTGCGAAAATATATCATTATATCATTATAGGTTCCATTTTAGGTATACATATCTGTAACAAGTATTCTTACAAATCTTATGTGATGTTACATTCGTTCTTCTTACATAGCAGGTTTTGAATACAGAAACAGGAATCTACCAAAGAGTTACATTAACTTGACTAGAGAGACATTAACTTAAATAAATAATTTACTTACAGATCTTTGACGTGCTGATTGCATTAAACAGTAGTTAGAAAAATGCACCTATTCTAAATTTGAACTAGTCGATATTTTTGTACCCGCGGCCATATTGAAAAGTGGAAATCCTGTTTGAGTGTAGATCGTGGTTCGGGCGCATGCGCGGGAAAAGCGCCACGGACTACTTGTTGATCCCTATTTCATTCACCACGCACAGCCTCGCGCAATCTACGCCGTACGATTCTCCTCCATAAATTATAGCGCTTTCTTTTTTAGATTATCACTATAGGATATGGATTGGTACAAGCTAGGAACTGATCCTTTGAAGGTTAAAGAACGCGCTTTAAACACGCTTACTAATTTTTAGAATATAAAAGTTTTTAATTAAATATAGAACAAATAACAGAGTTCTTTTACATAATTGACTTCTTCTTCTTCTTTTTAGTTTTTAGTTATTGAAACACTTGCCATATTGTGCTATATTTTGGTCTTTAGTAGTCTTTGATTCGTATCTATACATCTGATGTGACATTCTGATCTAACTCTAAGTTATTAGAGAATGTAAATTTACCAGAGATTAAGCTACTATAAAATAGTCTTTTATCAGTACAATCCCTTTGTAGTTAATATGAAAATATATCGACTGATTGTTCTATTGCTTATCGTATAACATAAAACTATTGACAATGGTTTAGTAAGTCATTTCGTATTTGCAGGTAATTTAGAACGTATTTACTGTAATCCAGAATTGATATTAGATAAAATATAAACATCGTGACTTACTGTAATCTCTATAAATGACTGACAAAGCCTTTCTAGAAAGAGATATGATTGTTAGACCACTTTAAACCTTACCCTTTGCCAAATCTTTAAGAACATCTTTAAAAGAACATTATGTATATGTATAATATGTATGTTTTCTTTTTTTTACCTATAACGATAAAAATACTATGTAAATGGATTGGCAGAGGTTAAAATGTTTTTAACGATTCAATGCTGTAGTCTATTTTTAGCATCCGTTTACACAGCTCAGCATAAACTGATCTGGAAATTGTTTGGAATTGAATAGATGCTAAAAATATTTCGATAACATTTCTTTAAAGAATACTGTATGTTATTTATTTTACTACATTATCTTATTGATTATACCATGTATTTTAGCCACCTTCGTTCCTCAATGTTTGATCTTGAGATGATGATGGAACTCACACATACAATGTCATATGACCCAACCAAGGGGACGCGTAATATCACTTATAGATATATAATAATAATTGGCAAAGCGAAGTCGTATACTTTATTAAGAGGTGATATCATTTAAATACAGTAAGCAATGAGAATTGGTCGATCAATACGGCTAGAGGCTGCGCGGGCTCCCCTCCCCCCTCGCTCCTAAGCCAACATGCCCGAATCCCGCCACCCACGAATATGACCGTGAAAATTTTCTGCGATTTTTTAAGATTAACCGGAATTAGACCAGCATCTATGCAAATTAAGCTATTTTTTTAAACCACTTCCTAAAATTAGAATTTAAAAAAATCCACTCTCACACATTCACACATATTTGTTACTAGACTCCCACACGTTGACGCATATCGATTTTTTCAAACAGTAAGAAAAAATTGGTTTAATCTCTAATAAATAAATAGTATAGATACAGCGATAGTTACAAACGCGACATACCTTTCTTCAGAAAAGACACGAGCAAACCATTACATTACATTACATTACAACACAAAAAAACAGTTAGTACACGCACTTTTTAGCTCACACTTCAGTTCTTGCTGTTTTGTGGGCAATAACAATACATAATTGGAGCTTATGACGCGGTACTCTCGCCGTATCAAGGGAGGTACTGAGATATCTGGAACCCAAGCCGCCCTTGCGCCCCGCGGTCTGCGCTCCATCGATGAATGGACCGCCCGCCCATAGTCGCTACCTCCTATTTAAAGTATACTCGCCTACATTTGTATTATATCGCCAACTGAGAATAACATCCGATGAAAATAGACATACTTAAAGGATGTGTTTACCTAGAATTTCTTAATATTGATAAGAAAAAATATTGCGGCAAGGCTTGTTTCGATGTTCTATTTCAACATTTAACAATTGCATTTTCCTAATTCTTAATAAGAAATAGAGGTTTGACACTAACTAATTCTAAATTACTAATGTAAGGTTAAAAAAATGCCTCATTATATTTGTTACAACATAATGTTGGTCACGTCTACATAATAATAAAAATGCAATCTTTTTTATTACATCGTTTAGCATTAAATTTGGTGGGAATTAATATATCTCTAAGAAATAATAGATTATTAGAAGGATAGACATTTTTTTGAGTCAAAACTTTATATTTCTTTTACGTATATGAAAGAAAAATTAACTTATGGCCCGATGAAAACATACATAAAATTTCATAAATTCTTGAACGCCTTGTAAGTTGTATCTTTCGTAGATATATAAATGGTTGAGTTTTTAAATATATTTGTTATAAGAAACTTTAAACGCTGTCTTTTACTTAATAAAAACCTACAAATAAAGGCTTAGAGCTTCCTACGTAACGAAAAAGCAAGCTGCAACGACATCTTGCGGGAAAATTTTGTACTTTGATACATCTGGACGTAAAAGCTTTAACATACGGTTTTATTCATTCAGTACCGATGGCGTAGTTTCATAAAAGTTATTTCTTAAATCAAAGATTTTATTCAAGTCCTTGTGTCTTTAAAAAGATGGCTCTGTATAGTTTGGTTGCTACTGCTTTCGGTTTGATGTTGTTTATTGTTTTAAAATCAAATTAAGCATTTATTTTATTGTTAATTTTAGTTAAAATAAGTTAATGTTGGAGTCTATATGACTCGAGTAGCAGATAAAAAACCGTTATAACGGTTTAAAAAAATGTTTTTAAATTGTATTGTATATTAGTTTTGGTGTACAAAAAAAAATAATAATAATAAATGAAAAAGAGGTATTTTTCTATTAATCGTAACCTATGTATTTAATATTTTAGTAAAAAAAATGCCCTCTTATAGTCTGTATTTACGGAAGTAGTACACATTCAAATAAAACGGTCTACAACGCAAAACGTATTAGGTAACTTATTTTAAATACCCGACCCGTAATAAATGTTTACTTATATATTTCGCGTTTTAAAAGAAGAGTTTTATTTAAATGGCCTCTGATTGTTACAGGTCTGTTAAATGTTGTAAGCCTCATTATTATGTATCTTGTATTTGATACGGTCAAGGGGGGGAATAAAACGGGAAATATTAAATACTTTAAGTTTATTTTACAACAGTTTCAATTGGCTATATATGCTGCAGCTACTTTTAGAAACATCAATGGACTATTTGCTGTGTAACAGAAACTTATTTACAAATCTCCTACTTAACGTATCTTACACTTAATTTATTTTCACTGATTGATTGATAAATTATGTTTATTTTAATAATACTTTAGAATTGTACACGAGTAAAGCTTACGGAATTAGAAATGTTAAACTTAGTTATAATCGTCTCTCCTTTATGTGTTTCTTTCGCCGCTGTTACAAGACATTTATAACGCCCGAAATCGAAGTTAAGACTTACCACTACATCGATCCGTCCCTTATATGAAGTGGCAGTAATTTTTCTTTACACATCAGATAACACTTGTTTGATGATGAATGTGTGTATCTTTATTATATAAGTCATAAAATTTTGAACAATATTTTTTATACAATAATTACTATATTCTTTTCACAGTTAATGTTAAATTAGATTGTTTTAAATAATACAAAGGTATTTACAAAGTTAAATTAAAATATAAATATATTCTATACATATTTTGTCTCTTGATTCAGAGGTTTATAAAGCATTGTTCATTGTTTGTATCGATTTTTTATTCTATTTACGTAAAATTATCTATTGATATAATTTATTTGAATAATTTTAAAAGCTCTACTTTAAAAACTTAAAGCTTCGGATACATCATCAAAATTATAAATTTTTGGTCTTATTGCTTAATTTTATTATATTACATAGTGTCATCTCTTATTTTAATAAATATAATTTATTTATAAGCAATATTTACTGCAACAACCTTATTTTGATTACCGAAAAAAACACGTATTTTTTAAACTAAAATGCTGTCAACAACGGTTCCCACAGGAAACTATTGTATAAAATTTAGGCATTTGAAAATAGAAAATATATTTGTTCCAAAATAATTCGAGTTTTATACGGTTAAACACGTTTTTTATACTATTATTAATGTATCATCATTAAGAACTATTATGACGGGGTCGTCGGTCAAATGGCAGCAATGTATAGCTACCAATCAACGGGTCGTGGGTTCGATTTCCTTCGAGTCCAACATTATTTCTAATTAATTTATAATTTTCTCTGAACCATGTTGGACTTCGTTTGGAAGTCAGAATATGAAATGGGAATCTCAAAATACCGTCCGGGTTACGAACCGCAATTGTAAAGAAAAGTTTTATCGCGTTTCGGTTGCAGTTTGTATTTCCGAATATCCAAAATGGGACGACAGCGCATCTTGTTGAGATATTACGTGGCTGCGGTGTTTCACCTACTATCAAGTGAACATACTGTCTGTCCCCTATGATACAAAATCACGTTTCGGCACCTAATCGAAAACGTAGAAAACCCAATATATAGCGTTGAATATAAGAAAACATATCGGGAAAATGACACGAGAGTACGTGTCAATTACGTTCACGTCGCGAATCTTTGGCATGGAGGCTTTTATCACTGTCGCGCTTTTCCTCAGTGCGTGCATCACGCGTGGTTTAGCAGCACCGTCTGAAATATGAAGGTAAAGTCTATTATACTGTCATATTATAAAGGTTGGTCTAAATAGTGTAGGACATTCAAATTGTTACTCTACACACATTTATCTTTAAAAATCTAAAGTTACAATATAGAGCTGAAAAGTTTGTTTCAACGCGCTAATCTCAGGGGAACTACTGGTTCGAATAAAAAAATCCTTTCTTCGTTAGTTGGGGCATTAAAAGAGAAAGGTTATAAAACATCAGGATGCAATCATTAGGAGCGAATACACAGAGGAATATGTGGTAAAGGCGAGGAACATTTTTCAACGTAGCGTGCGGTGTATATATGGCTCAAGAAATCTAAAAATATGTATAAAAGAATGAAACCTCTAAAACTCCATGACAGAAAATTAAGTAATGATGTATCGAGACTAAGAAATACAATGTTATTTTTTGTTTTAATTTTTAGTTCCATCGTCTTAAAGAACAAAATTTTTCGTTTTTTAGTATATTTTACATATGTATCCATATACAAATGTATTATATTTTACATATTAAAAACATACTTCTTGAATTTCTCGAATGCGGTCGAGTTCTATATCTTAGGTTAGTGTGGTCTCGCTGCAGCCTTAGCGACGGTGGGGCTCCAGCGGGCGTTGGCAAAGGCTTCGATCGGAGCCCTAACAAGGGCGACACTCGCCCCGATGTAGGAGTACATTCCCGCAGCGCTATTATTTCCTCAGGCGAACGAGTACCTTAAAATGTTCGTACGTATTATTAAAATGATTACACTTATCTATGCTCATATTATAAAACTTAAGAATTAGTTGATTTGTTTGTTTTAACGTACCAACCTAAGTAACTAGTGGTTCGATAAAAAAAACAGAGAGAAATGAGGTAAAAGCGGGAAAATTATAAATATTTGAGGGTTTCCGTTGCGTAAGTAGGCCAAACGGGAACATGGAACCAAAAAACATTTATGATATAATGATTCTTCTTTAAATGATCTAAAAAAAGTGACTGAAGATATCTTTAAAACACTTTAACAGTTTAAAACGCGATATATTAGTTAAACTTATTTGAAAATGATTTTTGACTTCGGCCCGACGTTTCGGATGCTTTGCAGATGCAGTCTCCCCGTGACCACGGCTGCTGCAAGGCATCCGAAACGTCGGGCCGAAGTTAAAAATCATTTTTTTTAAACCGTTAAAGTGTTTTATTTAAATGTGTACTACACGCGTAAACTATAGACAGTATATCATATTAAAAGTTAAGTTGCAAGAACAACAGGACGGGAACGACGTCGTGGGTATCTTAATTAAAAAGTTGAAGAGGTTGTTTGCAAAAATAAATGATATTATGATGCCCGAATAACTATTTCATGCAGACGACGTCACGAGCACAGCTAATATTTACATAAAACACAGTTAATAAAAAATCAAAACCAAATATTTACTTCAATCCGAAACTATAATTAACCTTCGCTATTCACCTAAAGATATTAGTTGTTTATTTCTAATGGGATATAATAAGTTTTTTATTTAACACTTTTACACAACACTATTGCATCAATTCTCTAAAACAATGCATTTAAACAATAAATATAAATTACGTAACTGCTATAAGAACCACAGAGTAACAAACCTCCAGAGCTTTTGAGATCCTTCTCGACACTAGTACTAGCGGATAGATCTCGGTTTTTTAACTTGGCCCGTTTCCGTGCCCTCGCGCCCCAGTACGTGTAATTAACAGCCGCGTACTCCAAAAGGGCCGCGAACACAAAAACGAAACACATCACTAGGTATATGTCGATAGCTTTCACGTATGAAATGCGGGGAAGGCTGCTTCTCACTCCCGTACTTATTGTTGTCATCGTCAGAACGGTGGTTATACCTGAGTGATTAGAATTAATAGTCAATTGAAATTCTGCGGAGGATAAGCAATAATAATTCTAATTGGATAAATAATGTATAGACACAGATTAGCATAGACTAATTAGTTTATTTGACAGCTGTCACGGTACAGAGTATAATGCTTATAGAAAAAAAGAAAACGTTAAAAATATAAATTCGTATGGCGGGTAGTTAACGATGATTTAAACACGAAGACTGTTATTAATACTTTAAGTAAAATGACTATTGTAAACTTGTTTCCTGTATTAATGTATAGCTCTCTCCATATTCCCCTAAACACAAAATATATTGAATTTATTTAACGAGCAAAAAACAAAATATTTATTCACTATACTAAGAAGTCAATACCAGATATAACTAACCTAAAGCGACTCTCGCTGACGTAGCCTCGTGATTGATCCAAAACGATACCCACGACAACATCACGATCAAAATGCTCGGGAGGTAAGTTTGGAACACGAAGTAACCGATGTTCCTTCGCAGCTTGAAACTTAGTGATAGACGCTGATAGATTCCTGTCGCCAACTTCTCCTATACAGTTAATAGATCATTTGTGAAGTGATTCCAACTTACTCAATGCCTTAGATTTTAGAACATTTTAGTGTGACATAACTAGGGTAACTGTTTGTTGGTTCGTTAACATACAGACTGCGAGACACTACAGAGGTTATACAGGTGTCCAAAGATTCAAAATCCGGGATTTGGGATTTTTGTAAGAAGACCAAGTTGCTTTCATACTAAATGATTCTTACTAGTTTGCCAGCCCAAGGTTTGAAAACAAGTCAATGTGCCTACCGAACTCTTGTTCAAATTTAAAACACTTCGATAAAATACTGTCTATAGTTTACGCGAGTAGTACACATTTAAATAAAACACTTAAACGGTTTAAAGCGCGAATATTAGTTAAACATTGAAAATGATTTTTAACTTCGGCCCGACGTTTCAGATGCTTTGCAGCACCGTGGTCACGGGGAGACTAAAGATGAAGATGCCTCTGACGTCAAATAAAAAATTGCTACCTACGCCATCTGTTCCGTCGAAGTTGTATTTGGCGAAACTGGCCGGGTCCTTACAGAATTGACTAACGGTGTCTTCGCGTTTGCCGTTTATGTTTCTATTATAATAAACGTCTCTCCAAATCTCTCGGTATCCAAATATCAATATCCAAGGTATAATCTAAATCTGCGGTAGGCCAACACTCATCGAAGGGCCCAATCAACCACCAAAAATCCTCGCGAAGGAGAGTGGATTTTTTCCAAGATTGGTATGCGAAGCAATTGAAATCTAAAAACATCCGAAACGTCGGGCCGAAGTAAAAAATCGTTTTCAAATAAGTTTAACTAATATATCGCGTTTTGAACCGTTAAAGTGTTTTATTTAAGCACTTCGATAAAGTTAATTAACTAGTAATTTTCGATTCACAATATAAAATAAGACTTCGAATCAATTTTCAGCATCCGTACCTTGAAACTATTATTAATATATACCCAGGTATATGAATATTATATATGTTATTGATCGCGTTTGAATTAGTTTTTTTTTTAAGATTGTAATAGTTTCGATATCACCTTAGTTAATTCAATTGCTGTATGCACTCTCGTAAAGAAAGATTACGAATATAGATAGATTACAAATTCTAACGTTAGCGCTCGTTCGTCACACTTCCTGTTTACCCATTTTTAAATCATGTTTGCCCCGAAATAGTCACAAAGTCTCTTTACATTAACGAGGTATTTTGAAAGAAAAAGTATTTACTTCACGTAAGAGGATATTTATTCTAGTTTTACGAGATACCTACACCTTCAAAGTGAAAATTCAAGCTGTGTTTGCTATTACCGAGAATATGCAGTTTCCTGTCTTAAATTACTTATTCATGCAGCTGCTAACCAAGACATGAATTTTACAAGGGGACTTGTAAAAACGATTGTATTTTCTCTAGACTAGATTCATTAAATATAATTAACTGATAAATATTCTAGTGATATTCTTACTATGTAAAGTAAAAAACTTGCATGGGAAATTTACATATATTACGATATTTAGAAGTTTTAAAATTAAAAATGTGTAAAAGAAATAAACTATTAATTCGAAATAAATCTTTCATAAAGAACTAGACTAGACTACTTTGAGTCTATCTTAATCATACACTTATAATAGTTAATGCCAAACGAAGAAAAGTATAATATATATAAAAAAAATATCAGTCTTTAAGTAAAGTAAAGGTAACGAAATTGAAAAAAATTGATAGTTTGTTTGAAAGACCTTGGTCTGAATATAAATCACTTACATTAAATTTGTTATTACTTGAATACTAAAAGCCGCTATCTCGGCCGAAAAAAAATTGAGGCCAGCATTTATTATTAATTTTTTAGATTTACTTTATAATTGTTATCAATACTGACCTTTCTATCATTAGTTTCGTGTCCAAGGATCGTGAACTGTGGCAGCTCTGCGTCCTCCACGCCTCGCACAGGCGTATCTTTCCAGTACATCACAACATCAGACACGGTATAACCATCTACAGAAACAAATATTCTGTTAGAATGTTAAGCTTACAGTGACGAAAGGTTCACAAACCCTGACTTAATCGCAGCCTTCTATTTAGGTCAAATTTTATGGTTTCATTCCGATTTAGCGATACTGAAACTGTAATACAAGGGAAATGAGAAAACGGAAGTTCTACGATTAAGAGGAAAATTGGTTCTTGAGCAATAAACAAAACCTAATTTAATATTTCATCCCTTTTAAGGCAGCTTTTGCATACTTATTGCGTGGATAGAATACTGAATAAATAGATATCAGGTGTACAAAGCCTGAATAATTGCCTACAAAGCCTTTATATACAAGACGAAAAATATACAAGCTGAGGTGAGTTTATGCGAGGTATACATGTAAATTGAAAACTTGGATTCAAACATGATAAAATCGATTTGTTTCAAAGTTAGTTCTGTAGTAATGGTTCAAATATATCATTTAAATTTTATAAATAAATTTTAAAATGAAGTAGGTAATACATTTCGCGTTTTAAACCGTTAAAAAACCGTTTTTAATGTGTACCGCTCGCGTAAATAACTTAGTTACCGATTTAAAGTTTCCAATAAAATACGAAAGATAGTAATGCATACGAAAATATTGTTTTCGCTTTGTTACTTGTCTGCAAGTGTTGTAAGACGAACATGCTGAAGACGTAGTAATTAAGTAAATAAGTAGTATACAAGACAACATAGCAACATATAAGATGGTTCTCAAATACGTGAATTAGCAAAGCATAGCTGAGCTTTATATTAAAGTTATGGAGTCACACAGCTTTCAATCTCGACGGTGCAGTTCTGGCTGTCCAGGGGGTAGTAATGGAGGTCCATCATGCAGGCCAAGGTGGCAGTGAACCGCATGCCGTATGTGATGCTGCCATCACCACCTAGCCGAACCAGCTTGTTTCGCTCCGTCACATCATGTAGGAAGCTAGAAGGAAGATTGTTTTTTTTAATACTGTCAGTAGTTTACGCAAGGAATACAAATTTAAATAAAACACCTTAACGGTTTAAAACTCGAAATATATGAATTAAACTTATTTGAATTTGAAACGCGGAATCGTCGATGCCGCGTTCGTTTAAAGCCGTTAAAGTGTTTTATTTCAAAGATATTTTGTCTTGCTATATTATGTCGAGGGATTTTTGATAACTTTTATAAATAATCTGCACTACTTATTTGTTGTTTTGGTTTGTTATCTGTAAGATTTTACTCTAAAACTGATTCTTCAACACTGTATATATCTCAAACAAAAACAGATGAATAACGATGACTTCGGCTATATTTCTCTGTCGTTCAAATGACTCAAGGGATTTTCATGCATTCTTACGAACGGAAATTTTAATCTCCAACAGCGCAAGATTGAAACAAAAATTATTCTTATTCAAAATAAATATTTATTTTGAATAAGAGTATTTTTCATATATAATAAGTATTTTACTGTACAAAGTATGGATAGAAATGCAGCTGAAAATTAATGTCGATTGCTGAAAAATAGATAAAAGATTTTGTTGTGTGGCTTGTACAAACCTGTTTTTATCGTTGGCGAAAAATGTATCTGGCACCCAGATCTTATCAGCAAAGTCCCCAGACAGGGTTAGGACCTCGTCCGTTAAGCCAAATTCCAGTCTTTCATCTTTCCAGTATTGGTTCAGATAAAGGGTTATAGTGTAATCCTGAAACGAGTTCGCACTATCAAATTTCGATTACAGGGCCATAACGGGTTTCAGATAAGCAAAAGGTTTGGTTAAAGCTATTTTTACTGTTCTTTATTAGGAGTATACCATAAACGTAACTATAACATTTAGTGTAACAAGAAATGTGTTATTTACAAGTACACCCGATAACCTTAACAAAGGTTAAAAAAGCAACAGGGTTGGGACATAAACCCACAATCACGTCTGAAAGTTCAACGTCACAAAAGGTTCTAAAAGGCTTTTAACGGTTTAAAACGCGAAATATATTACTGACTTATTTACAACTTATTTTGCGGCCCGACGTTTTACACCGTTAAAAGTGTTTTAAATGTTACTACTCACCTAAACTACACACAATACTGAACACTCCTATATCAATGTAAAATATTATTTAAATGAGCTTTTAAGCAAAATATAAAATGTTTATTGACGTCGTGTACGCAAGAACTTAAGGTAACATAATACATGGCTAAAAGCGTAGAAAAAATAGTAAACCATTTATATTTAGCAAATAAAGTGTTTCAATTGCTTGATACTATTACTGACCAAAAGATGAATAATATTAATAATTATTTATACAACATTTTTAAATAAATTGTTCTTCAAAATTATTACTTCATCTAAATCTTTGAGTCTATATGTGAAAAAAAAACGAATCGCATAGCTGTATAAAAGGCCACCAAAAGACTCATTTGAACTTAACTTAATTTAGAAAGGACATATTCAACACCTGCTTCATCAATCAATGAGCTTTTTATATGTTTTATTAAAAAGAGGTAAGCCTCCAACATACCTACAAACTAACGCTTACTTATTTTATATTTACGTAAGTATTCAGAAAGAAAAATCGAAATTATATTTAAATATCGAATTTTAAAAATTAAAAATGCTAAATAGGCCTACACTAATAAGACAATACGTCAACAGAACTAGCTGTGGCTTCGGACGTAAAAAATTGTTTTAGCAAAACTCTACATCATTATAAATTATCCTTGTCACCCACGACATCCTTCGTCTTTTAAGATTTTTCAAGCTAACGTAAGTTGCATTTCGTTGTTTTTTTTTAATTCGAACCAGAAGTTCCTAAGATAGCGCATTCAAACAAATACATTTTTCAGCTTTATATAAAAGTATAGATAAGCAATGTTATAAAAATACAAAAGAACCAACGGTTCTTTCTATGTATATTTTTCAGAATGTCAACTTTACGATTTTAGTTCTAAGATCTTCCAGCATTTATAATAGGTAAGATTAGTATGAATGAGTGGGAGGGAACCAGCTGAGGAAACCATCGATTGGCTGACGCAGCACTCCGCCCTCGGTGACCGACGTGACTCCGCGATGTATGTCAAGTGCTGGCCTTGCGCTCTTTCTGCTATTAGAAGCTTAACGAACACGACGAGCGATCAAGAGCTACATCCTTGAATGCCGAAAGAAAACTTGTCAAATCTACGTCGAGGTGCGTCCACTTGGCACTTTACGCCACTCATCTTGATCACGGCTCATAATATGCCGAGATGAAAGCAATTGATGAAGTTCCAATTATGAATTATTAATGTTAAATGTGTATGATATGGGTGTCGTGCAAAGATTGTATTGTATCAATAGCTAGTTGTGTTAGGGACTTCGCCCGCGTGGAATATTTATTTTAGACATCAAAATTTTTTTTTCAGATTCATCTTCTTATAAATTTAAGTTATTACCCTCAACATCGGTCGTCTCGTCGTTCTTGCAAGATGTTTTTTAGATTGTCGAGACGAATCATTCTTTCATAAATTTTTTAGGTATCTTAAACCGTTGCGTACCTTTTGCAGTGTACGCAAGAAGCTCGAATTTGTCTTGCTTGCTTGCTTGGTCGCTATTTGTTTTTTATATCCTATCGGTACATGTTTTAAGCGATACCTATTTTTTTCAATTCGAATCGCTAGTTCCTGACATAAGCGCGTTCAAACAAACAAACAAATAATCTGTTCAGCTTTACATTATTGGTTTCGATTAGAGTCGATGTTTGACTTCTAAACAAAGGTCTGCACTCACTCTCACCAGAGTCGAAAAAGTGAAAATGCTGCCTTTGTTCTAAACTAAGTAAATTTTTTTTGAAAGTATGTAAAAAGTAATTAAAATTTAAAATTACAAACCAAAAAAACGTGCTCGGCTATTTTTAATTCGTCAGAATTTAAAATAATTTACATATTTTAGTAATAAGTTTATCTTGTTTTTAAGTGATTTTTATAGTCTAAATGGGAAATAGTTAATGTCTTAAAACCGAAAAATTGCTGACAATAGTGAATCTCATTAAAAATCTAAATTGAAATCTCAATAACTGTATTAAACATGCAGTCTGTGGAACTTCGCCGAAACGCAGCACAATTGATTGGCTTCATAAAATCATTAATGACCTAGTTGATTGCCCACCCCTTTTGGAGCGAATTGGACTTTGCGTACCATCTTTTAATTGCCGACTTGCTTCTTATTCTCCAATGTTTATTAAATTTCACAAAAATAATTATGGCTAAAAATCCCCTATACAGTTAACTTCTAGACTTTTTAATAGCGTCTTTAAGAACCACAATATTGACCTTTTTACTTGTGTTAATATTTTTAAAAGACAAGTACTTCAATATCTTGCCCAGTAAATTTGTCTTAATGATCATATTACTATGTAGAATCAACTAAGAATAAGTTTGTTTATGTAGTTTGCTTTATCTCTCCATATACTTATCAAGTTAGGTACAAAGATTATTCTTACAAATTAATAAGTTAGTTATAAGAATTATTTGTACCTGATGCAAATTAAGTTACCAGGTACCTTAATAGTTTAAAAATCGAGCGTTTTGGGGGCCGGGCCCCCCCCCCCCCCGTCAAAACACGCTGGAGAAGGCCGCGTAACGTTCTTACCGACCCCGACGGCGGATTTAAAAAAACCCCCGTTTTTCTTTTTTCCCTTGGGGGCCCCCCCCCCCCCCCCCCCCCCCCCCCCCCCCCCCCCCCCCCCCGGGGGGGGGGGGGGCCCCCCCCCCCCCCCCCCCCCCCCGGGGGGGTTCCCCCCCCCCCCCCCCCCCCCCCCCCCCCCCCCCCCCCCCCCCCCCCCGGGGCCCCCCCCCCCCCCCCCCCCCCCCCCCCCCCCCCCCCGGGGGGGGGGGCCCCCCCCCCCCCCCCCCCCGGGGGGGGGGGGGGGGGGGGGCCCCCCGCCCAAAAAAAAAAAAAAAAAAAAAAAAAAAAAAAAAAAAAAGGTTGACCTAGTTAGTAAGCCCTATTAATAAATAACTGAGAACAAAGCAATCTATATAACATGTAATACATACCATATTAACTTCCGAAATAGCATCAAAACTAGCGATAGTCAAATCCATGCCGACGTACAGAGGGTCTCCTGAAAAGCAATAACGATTTATGCAAGATGGCAGGTCGCGGCTGGACGAATAGCTTACAGCCCACATGTTTACCGAAACAACTCAATATCTTTTGTATCACATCATATGCTTCAGGTCTTTCAATATTTCACCGAGGATTCTTTTCAAAACCTCTCTGGCTCTATTGCAGTATCGTAATATATATTATTAGTTAAAATATATGAAAGTTAGTAAAAAAAACAACATACTTTGTCGCAGTTGCTCGCGAGAGTTATTACTGTATGTTAACTATTTCGGGTAAACTGCTAGTGATGTAATATTTAATTATTATGTATAAAATATATATATCATTATTGTATTATATAATTCATCATTATTAATAAAAAAAACCTTTAACATTTTGTGTACAGAGCGGCTCATACTTTAATGTGTAAAAATACTTAAAAAAACATTAAGACAACACATATTTTCCTTACAAAGTTAAGAGCATTACATAGATTTGGTAATTATTGTTACTCAAATTACTGAATCAAATTCATCCCTATAGTTGATATAATTTTCCTAAAAATAGTGTAAAAAAATCACACTTGATAATACTCATTTAAAAACTTTGATTATTATTTTTCACATACAAATGATTTCTTTATATAAATTAAAAATCTATTCCCACTGTCGTCAAATTAATTATTAAAATTAATTGACGACCGACGAGTAGCTTTTGGTTCATTTGGACCACTTATATTTGCATTTTAAGATATCTTCAAGCTAAAAATTATATTTGCTCTAGCAAATAAAACAAGGATCGCGTACAGTTATAAAAGTTTACGCCCCATGCCCCACAGTGGAAACGGGTTTTCACCAATTAGAAACAACTTACCACCGAAATTAGGTCGTAGGCGAATATCGTAACCGTCCAGTATCCTTGTAACGGTATGTGTCACGTTTTCCATTCGATCAGTCACCGTTCGGTGTGCGCTGTCTAACCTGAAACAAACGTTTTGTGATTAACTGGTGAGATGTATTGTAGTTTACGCCCACTATTTAGGACGCAACACACCGTCTTTATATAAATAAAATACTTTTAACGGTATGAGACACGTCACCGTGTAGACCTTTCATGTTTTAAACCGTTAAAAGTGTTTTATTCACATGTGTACCATTCGCGTAACTTACATATAGTCCTACACTGTCTATGATTTCGTTTTTTGGGTTCGAATTGTAATAATTTATTGGCTACAAGAATTTAATAAAAATAAAACCTTTGTCTAGAATGATGTAGGTTTAATTGTTCATATATCTAAAAATTGGTTTTAATAAGGGCTTATTTTTGAATGAATGAATGAATAAATAGCCTTTATTTACGAACCAATAAACTTATCTTCAACAGTGAAGTGTATAATAATATTTACAGTTTCCTTGTTAAAAATCTTCAATTTACATTTTTCTTATATCATTAAACTATTTTACAACTATTAGTTATTTATATAAATGTATATATGTAACTAGTTAGGACTTTTGATATTTACTTTAATTAAATAATTGGGTTCGCTTGGCCACACATAGCCTCCAAGCTTAGGCCCTGCTGCATGTTCCAAATCGTCCTCCCATCTGGTTACTGGTCTCCCTCTATGCCTTTTCCCTTCTCGTGGGTAGGGCTTATTTTTAGGATTGGTAAATGCGGGTTGTGATCCCAAACTAAACTAGTATTATAAAGACTGCTGTTTGTTTGTTACTAGGCTGTTTGTGTAGGCCTCAAGAACCGATAGCTAGAGAGTTGACATTTTCACATTCGACAACAAAAATAGGAAAAAATATTGAAATATTGGACGGGCTCATTGGAAAGGGGATTTGTATGGCTGATAATAAACGGGTCATTCGATTGAATTTTTAATTTCTCTGAAACATGTTAGACTTTGGAAATCTGAATATTAAGGAGGTAGGGAGGTACTTTTTACGTCAAGTTTCAACGCATTTTAGTTTTTAATCTGTGGATTTCCGAATATCCAAAGCCGCAATAAAGGGGTCTACATCGCATCTTGTTAGATGTTATATAGCTGGGTTATTTCACTACCATCAAGTAAATCTCATGCTTGCCTGTCTTCTTCAATTTTAAAAAAAGAAAGAAGGTCTTTCTTACAAGTGCTTTTTTATTGCTCGCCTTAGTCGTGCGCGACTCGCACTTGATCAGTTGAATTTTTAGAATTTAATAACACTGTATGTAGTACGTCTATATAAAAACCAATGCAGCTTTTTCGTCTTAATGTAATGAGATTTGTTCACCATCTTGAAGTAATATAATGTTTGATATTAAATGTAATTTTAGAAGCAATTTCTAATTGTAACATTTGAAAGCATATTACTTTTACGTATTAATACATGTGAATTTATATACACTTATATAATCGAACACTTTAACGGTTTAGAACGCGATATTATTATTAAACTGATTTGAAAATGATTTTTAACTTCGGCCCGACGTTTCGGATGCTTTGCAGCAGTCGTGGTCACGGGGGGGACTAAAGGGTAGCCTAAATTGACCTATTAAGTATTAGTGGAGCAGTCGTAGTAGTCGTGGGTTCAATTTTCACTCGGTTTACTTTAGCAAATATTACTCTGCTTATATTTAAAGCAATATTCGTAATTTGATAGTTTGATTATAGTCACTTGAGTTTTTTCAAGAAAAGTATTACTAAATTTGTAAACGACAAAGTAGAATACGAAAATAATGATAATTTTAACTATTAAGTTTTATTTTAATTTCTAATTAATCTAGTCCTAAAATAGCGGCAGGCACATTAATAAATAGAGCTTAAGAGACGGCCGAGTGGCATGTTGTGGGAGAGGGTTACGTCCAGCAGTGGACCCGAACGGGCTGATGATAATGGTGATGATTAGTTTTAAATACACCTCAAAACATCGCTCTGTAGACAAATGGTTAAACGTATTGCCTAGATTGAGTTACGCGCGTGAAGATCTGGATTCGAACAAAAAAATGTTTCGGTCGGGCAGAGCACAGAAGTCTGATCAACTACTTGTCTGTTAAAGAACGGATCAGTGAAACGGACACAGAAATGTGTTCGCCCCATGCCCCACGAGAGGGAACATAAAGAGGGCTTTTCAATTAAACTATTTCCAACGATTTAACATTTACAGGGAAAAGTTTAAGCAATTCCGCCGACATTGATTACGGTCGTATCAGGCGCATTTCTGTCAAATTACACCTCCTGAAGACGTGGACACATAAATGAGATTCCTCGTACAAAATTACCATTTAGCGTGAGGATTCAGCAAACTGAATGTGGAATTGAGTTACGGTTTCATCCGGGACAGCAATTAGCTCGATGGATCTACGTGTAATGCCTTCCAACAAGCTGTGGGCTTCATGACGAATTACGATCGAATTAAACTGGGTAAATAACGTTAAAAGATGCGTGATTTGGGCCGTCTGCGGGTTCTTGAGTAGGCACAAATGCGAAGAATTTAGATGGTTTTATTTAATTTGACGTGTTCCGTCGGCCGACGGAATAATGGTTTTGAATTATTTTATCGTTTTAGTAAAAATCCTGTTCAGCCTTCGTTACGTTTTCGAAGTATTTTTAGCTAACCTAAGTAATACTTAATTATAAGATTACATTTCTCAATAACTTACAGATAACTTAGGTATGCATTTATTTATATTTAGCAACTATTGCATTTTAGTCGTTTAAAACAGTTTTCAGAAAAATGGCATATTAAGTTCAATCGAGTTAAGTTTATTTTATTCTAATTAGTTCTTTACAGATACCTACTAATCTAAAATTGATTATATTATACTCTGCAAAGGATCCAAAACGTCGGACCGTAGTTTTAATAAATTATAATTTAGTTATCTAATATATTTCAAGTTTTAAACCATATGTATAATAATAAACCGTTGAATGTTTTACTTGAAGGAACATGTATTAATTTTAAATATCGCAAATGTAAGTTAACAAGTGCATTAAAGGCAGTGCATTTGTTAATAAAGTTAAACAATAATTACTTCTATGTATGAATTAAAAATACGACACGGGCAGGAATTGAACCGGTATTCAAAGCGATCCGTGCTAACCAATTGAGCTACCATGTCCTACACCTCGTACTTAAATACTTTACTTCTAAATATTTTGTAGAGTGACTATAAAAAAGTGAATACTTACGGTACAGGAACAAAGGCAAAAAAGAACAGCGTAGAAATCATAGATGCTGTGGATAAACGCGCGTGCAGCCTACAGCGCGCCCGCGACGTGCAACGCACGATCATCGCGCGTCCGGACCGCGTCGCAATCGCATCGCGTTCAGTCACGTACGATCCTTGCACACAATTTTATCGTACATGATTGATCGTACGTAAGTTCGCGAAGTACTAATCGTTTTGCAAGTTCTCGCGGCTTGAGTCGGCATGAGCGACTCCGACGGACGGTTCGCGCGGAGTGCCGTCGCGCCTGCGCCACCTCGGCGGGTAACTTCTACTAACTTTAGGATTTCCCTCCTTTTTCTAGTTAAGAGGATTAAAGAAACGTCTTGACGTGATAATTGTGGATACAAACGTATCAGAACCGTTGATATTTCATTACATATCGAGATTTACTTATTTTTATTGGGGGAATTAAAACTTATAATTTCATTTTACATAAAAATAACTAATTGAATTTGGATTATTGAAGCAAACTTTGATTAGTCACAAAATATATATCAATTCGATTAGTAAAATAGTTCATTGACGTAGTTGTGCTTTGTTATTTATTCGGACTTCAAACTAAAATATTTAATTTAAGCCGTTTTAAAAAGGTTTGAGTTATATATATTAGTTAACTTGTTTACAATTTATTTTAACAACGACTCGACGTTTCAGATGCTTAACAGTTAAGTAATATATTTCGTCTTTTACACCGTTGTAACTGTTCCATTTAAATGTGTACTACTCGGGTAAACTACAGAAAATACTTACTAAAAATATTATACAATTTTTTTTCTAGCTTTAAGGTTGGGACTTTATTTTAACTTAAGATCTTAACATGGCTGAATTCTAATTGCCCACATTCTCCAAATGAAAGCTTCTTTAAGGC